AGTGCAACTCCTTTTAATTTGACAGACAATGCACCCCGACAAAGCCACACTGAAAAACAGAGTGACGTATTGCAACGGCCTAAGATTTTACATAGACCAACAAATTAAACAATAGCATAGACAAAAATTGAAAATGCAACCTGTGTGAACAGTCCCTTATTCTCTAAAAAAAGATTGACAAACTCCATTGCACAATAGATTAAAAAAAAAGCCCTTTTAAATGCCTATCCAACGCTTTATACATCCGTCACAATTTTGTGATGTCTTAAAGGATTTACTTGGGTTTTTAGTACTTATATATGCAAATTAGGGGTGTGCGATACATATCGTCTGCGATAATATCGTAATTGTTGTTTTACCGATGTGCGATTTGACATTATCGGGTATAGCCTATCCCTCACACACACCCAGAGAGTGCATGCATACTCTACGACGTGATGTAGTCTTGGGTGTGCATTTAGAGTGCATGCTTTCACTGCGTGATTTAGTCTTTATTTATATCATTTAGTAATAAATATCACAAGAGTGCAGTTTTTCTCCAAATATAAGCATGATAACAAATGTGATATTGATTTTATACAAGTTTAATAAACAAGAAGATAATTTTAAGTGACTTACATTTTAGACACCATATTGCCTGTTTTTGCTCTATTTCGCCAACGAAAATAGTTCAAAACAAAGCCACACACGGTGGTGTTTCCTTACTGAGTGAATCAGCTTTTTGAACGAATCAGTTGACTAGGATAGATTAAGAGAGTCAAATGCTTCTTTCCTTGAATGAATCGGTTGAATCTCAATGATACGCTTATTAACAGTGACTTGCTGCCACCTACTGGTGGTTTCAATTTCACATTTAAAGTATCTTTTCTTGTTTTAAATATCAATATTCAATATTGCAAAGATGAATTTTGTTGATACTGATTTCATTCGATTGGCAACAGCCCTATTGTGTCTCATTATTATAATTGAATTTGATTAAATGTATGAAATTGACACAAAAGATGATGTATGCATATAATAAGGTTTAAAAAATGCCTTTATAAAGGTAAAAATGCCCATATTAGGTAAAAATCAATTGAAACATATTGGGGGGAAAAATTTCTGTCACTACTGTGAACTGACCAACACACAGACAGAGTATGAAGAATATCAAAAACTTTAGGAGTCGGCTGTCCACAACAGTCCTTAACCTGCCAAAGTACCAACACAATAAACACACTCAGCAAAATAGCGTCTAATAATCGTTATCGCGAAAATTCCAGAAAATATTGATAAATTATTTTTTGTCAATATCACGCACCCCTAATGCAAATAACTGCAATTATTTTTGATTCAGAACAAATGTGATATATAATGCAACTCCACAAATTGACACTCAATTGCTTTTCATTGCTTTTTCTCTATCTTTCTTTCTCATCATAGGCTCACTGGTCATTAGGAGACAAAAATGATGGTAGTTCTCCTTTTAGAGGTCAAGTGCTGCCCTGGGCTCCTCCTTCTCCATGAATTACTTCAGCATTGACACCAATTATTAAAATACATCTTCATTAGATCTCGCTTCAGAGCTCCATCTGTGGAGCAGCCAGGAGCGTTCTTCACCACCCCATCACACTTAATTTACCCAGATCAAACTCATCTATTGCCTGAGCCACTCAAAGCACAGACAAGAGTGGGGCTGAACAGTGCCTCCCCAAAAAAACTCATTCATTTCAGGTTTTTGCTGATAGTAACTGTTCTATGTATGTGACAGAAAAAAAAAAGCTACCATATGACTTCATTCAACATCAATTTGCACTTCAAACTGATGCAAAAAAACACAGCTTTCCTCAACAAGCAGCAAAAAGGAGGAGTATGTGCTTTTACAGAGAATATCAGTGAAGTGTTCAGGTGCTGCTGTGAGTTTACATTTCGGTAAGAATTCATATGATGCACCATTTAAAGAGGACGGTGGTGCTGATGTGGTTTATATTTCAAAAGCAACAAGCAATGCATGTCATCACCGTGCCGGAGAGTCAGACTTCTATTTTCTTGAGAGCATATGTCAGTGGTGAAGAAAACCTATTAGGGCGAGAGGAGGAGCAAGTTTTGCCAGCATCCATCTTATTTCAGCGGCACATAAAAGCAGAGGCGTTGAATTGCTTTTCAAATGCACTAGGCCATGCCACACACTCAATCCACCAGTGTATCTGATTTGATCCCCCAAGCAGAAACACAAGCAGAACCATTGATTGATACCACCAAGCGAAGGGTGTCTGGGGGAAATAGGGTATAAGAGTGCCAGATAGAGGGGGTGGAAAGGCCAAGGAACTGTGGCAACAAGGAAAACAACATTACAATAAAACTGGAATCTGACAAAGAAGAGGATTTAAATGAGGTCTAAACTGCATTTCTAAAAAAAGGCTCAGGTTGCTTCTGAAGCATGTATTGACAAGTGGCGACTGTGGACAGTCATGCTAATCTACGAAACTATAATTTAGGATGAAAGGGCACAGAACACTTGAGTTATAATCAAACGATCAAGTCCTGAGCATGTTTGCAGAGGATAGACCATTAGCGAGTATTTCAGGGATGGAAATTAACTTTTTTGTCCACCTGCCACTGTGGCTGGTCGATTCCAAAATCTACCAGCCACTCAACGTTTTTACCAGCCACTTTCTTGTTTTTAACCGACAATGTGTGACTGCATGTGAAAATGAATACTACAAGATCTACAATACTTAAGCCGTTTATTCCATAGGGTAAAGTCTCAAGGTGTGCCTCCTCTAAAAGTGTCCGGGTGAAACAGCATGCTACTTTTATTTACCCACCACGGTGGCTGCAAGGTGAAGCAAGTTTACCAGCCACAACACAAAATCACCAGCATTTGGCTGGTGGCTGGTGCTAATTTCCATCCCTGGATTATTTTCTTTATATCAGTCATTCTCCAATTGTGGTCAAACAGTGGTAAGCCAAACTGCTTAAGTGGTAACCAAAATAGCTTCCAAAACTTCCCAAAAATATGTGTTTGAAATAGATTGAAACATTTGAAATAGGTTGCAAAATAATGTGTTAAGCGGGAGAAAGGAACTTGAAATGGAGCAGAGCAAATACCAAATCTCAAACACTAGTAAGACTCACACTCTGGGGGAAAACTAGAAAACAGAGGCTTGTTTTGTATACTTCACAGAGGGAAAGTCTCTACACTTTACTGTCTCCAGACACATGTTTTAGCTATAAGCAAGTCGTCTAGAATGCTTTTCCTTAGCAATGTTAGTCGGCAGACCACACTCACCAATACATAAAGCGGTAGTTGCGCAGACAAATTAAGCAAATGTTGACCAATGACTGCCCTGCCAGCTCTGCTATGAGGATTTATAGTGTGTGGCCAAACCAAGCATCTGTGAGGCCTTATAAAGTAATTCATCCATGCTAGCTGCACCAAGTCTCAAAAAACGCTGGAGACAGGGTGAGGACACCACCTACCACCTCCTCCAACTGGTGGCGTGAAAGTATATTTTAGAGATTGGCAGTACACTGAGACTCACTCATCAAATGGCAGACAGTTCAAAGTCAGTAGGATTACCAGTCATATAATATCATCCTCTTTTCCCTTTCAGTCTTTTTTTTTTTTAGCAGTGAGGTTTGCCATTGGTTAATAATATTTTAATTAAAAGTGGTATGAGGAAGTAAGGTTCTACTCGTTGAGTGAAAGTTTCCAGAATGGGTCCAAATCGCATCTTACACACTTCAAAGCTGGATTTTCAGAGTTCTGGCTTCATCTTAAAAGAGCAGCTGCAACTATCAAACACAAAAAAGCATATTTCATTCATGAAGACGTGCAGTTAGGGTTCAGAAACAGACCTGGGGAGAGACGAGTCAGTGGGTACGCTCCAGGCGTAATTGATAGGAACTGAGCCAAAGATGGGTCCCAGAGGAACTCCTCAACTCTTACTTATAAAACCTACACCTTTGCAGAGAAAAACTAAAGAAACAATACAAAGTGTAGAAGCATGAAACCTAAACACAATTATATCTAAAAAAGGTATTTGGCTTCATAGAAACAGGCTGTATTTTTGTCACTATCTCAGAAGAGAAAGCGCAAACCCCAGTAGCAATCAGCAACGGTTATATTCAAGAGTCATATAGGCATTTCTGCACATCTTAAACCACCACATTATGCTTAAAGTGTTGCTGGATGGAGTTTAACAGACTGATATAATGTCAATAGTGAAGAATAAGAGGAGTTATTGTTATCTGGAGCTGTGCCAGTGGGCTAACGCTAGCAAACTCCACAGACTGTGGTCAATCTGCTCGCAGATCAGTTCACTTCAATGACTGATCATCTGACCACCGCTGCACACATGAGCAGACTCTTCAATTGTGCTCAATGTCTGACAGGCCCTCTGCAATGCCCCTTTGTGAAACAGGCATTAAAATCTACTGAAGCCATTCAATGTCAAATGTTCAACTTGCTGCCTTGCCGAAGGAAACATCCACTTTATCCTTGTACAGCAGTGTGAATAAGCAGGGAAAGCAAACAAAGAAACAAACTGGCCAAAACAAAAGTACAACTCTCTGTACTGTAACTTTCTCTTGCGTTCTTTCTTCTTCACTGTCTCTCAAGGGGCTTCCAGTGAAGCGGAAAGGCAGCCAAGCTAACCAAGCATGTCTGTCCTCTGCTACTATCGAAACCCACAGCCTCTTAGAGTACGAATCCCGTGAAGGAAGAGGGATGCTTTGTAAACTGACTGGACTGTGCTGACATGTACTGTAAAGTACACTTCCAACTCTGCAACTCTGCTAATTGGCACATAGCTAAACACTTCCTTAAATTGATTGTAGAGACCCCCATAAAAAAGGGAAGTTATGGGGAAACCAAAACAGCTTTATAAAGATAATTAAGATTTCACAGAGATGACTGGTTTCCGAAAGTTTGAAAGGAATAAAAGTCAGCCATCAGGGTAACAGAAACGACATGTTCCTATGTGATTAGGAGGAGAGGCAAAGCAGGTTGTCCTTACCTCTAGATTTAGAAGAGAAGGACAGTGAAAGCTGGCCCAACATGTCCGCACTCTCAAACCGCTCCTCTTTGACTTTGAGCCAAAAGCAATTTTCCGCCATCTCCTGAGGCACTACCTGCAAGCACAGAGAAACTCCATCAAACACCAGCAGGAATACAGCAAGAGAGCACCAATGCACACATAAGCGCGCACATACAGCAGCATGAATGCCTGAATATACATTTGCAGTTTACAGTGTGTATGTTTGTGTATATGTTTGTCATGATAGACAACTAGTCAATTGATCAGTTATCAGTTATAGTGCATACATACATAACATATCAGTGTGTGTTACAACTGATCAGTCAAATAGTCATTCAGACAACTCACCAACTAGACTGCCCATCCCTTGTGTGTGTGTCTGTTTATGTGTGGGATTTGAATAAGGATCAAAGTTATGTAAACTAGCAGAGAGAGGTGGCAGTTTAAACTATGTATTTTCTCCTTTACGGTTTACATATAGTAACCTCCTCCCCCTCATCATCTCTGGCTAATTCTCTCCGCTTCATTAAGACACTAGCAAAGGGAAATTCAACTGTGCTACACGTCACATCAAAGCCAACATGTGTGTATGCAATAAATTAGGTGTTGGTAGAATTTAAAGAATTTAAAGCCTAAGACTTTAAAGCTACTGTCTTTTGCTCAAGGAAAATTGAAAGAGCTCTCCATATAAAACAGCCTCCAGTTTAGTGAACTGACATCTTTAGTAAAGGGTCTCCAAAGCTCAGCAGCACCAGGACAGCAGAAAGATTTATGTAGTGCAAAACTACATATTTTTAAGATGGATATTGTTGCTTTTAAAAAACAGATGAAAGACAGAAGTTCTTTCAGAAGGAAGGAAGGAAGGAAGGAAGGAAGGAAGGAAGGAAGGAAGGAAGGAAGGAAGGAAGGAAGGAAGGAAGGAAGGAAGGAAGGAAGGAAGGAAGGAAGGAAGGAAGGAAGGAAGGAAGGAAGGAAGGAAGGAAGGAAGGAAGGAAGGAAGGAAGGAAGGAAGGAAGGAAGGAAGGAAGGAATCTGCATATGGAATAGTTAGATTGTATCACCTGTCATCCTCTTAACATCAGTATCAAACCTCAATGTCTATCACCATAAGGTGTTTCAATCAGAAACTTTAATTCTATTTTTTTTTTCCTTTGTTCTTTTGCTCTGCAATCAACACATCAAACCCGAAAGAAAATGAAATGAGAGGTTACGTTTGGCATGAAATGACACCTTTGCAAAAACATGTCTTTCTTAATAGCAGCATACATTGTTGTTGTTACTTGTATAATGCATCCCAACAACTAGAAAAAATATATCCAATAGCATTTTACTACCATTTCCAAGAATTATGTGGGATATAATTAGAATATGGAAACAATAGCCAGAGGAACTGTCAGAATCACAAGGAGTTACTAGATTTATGGATAAAAACAATTTATATCCTCTTTTCATTATAAACGAGAGCTGGTCATTTCCTCAACCGCAATTTAAGCTAAGAAAATGATATAGTTCAGTTTGTGTCACGTCAGAGAAGAGAACCGGGGCAGAACACAGGAAGTCCAAATGCCTCTCGATTACACAATCGGCTTATTCTTGTGTGAAGTATTTTATAAATATGTAAATTAATTGGGAAACTATTTGCTTTGTGCAACATCCACCCCCTCTCAATTCAGCGGTTATCTGTCTGCAACACAGAAATGAAGTGTGCCTGAAGTCAGAATAAAAAAAATAAAAAAAAAAGTGTCTTAGCTAGCTAAAAAAAATGGAGGAAGTCTGTTTAGCAGGTCAAGTTAATCAATTTACAAAATAAAATGTGCCCCAATCTTAAATTAAATCTATTTCTTTTAGAGAAATATTTCTTTATGACATTAGCTAATTTTATAGAGTTGTGCAAATGCATGTCTAACAATGTGAAACATTCTGAATCTCCAGATGGTAATGGTACTCATTCAACAGTGTTTCATTGAGTTGTGTGCCCCCTAAATTGATGCTTAGCCCCCTATTCTCAATGATGACCCACATTACTGGTATCAGATCGCATTTACAATCGGACTAAATCCAAGTGGAACAGTGGAAATACAGAGAGACTGACAGAGTGAGAAATGAGCAGTATCATTAGTGCGCTACCTCACACGGGGACTTGTGTGAAAAAAAAATCATGACTCTTCCAAACATAGTAATTAACACAGGGCTCAGCAAGGGTGACCTTGTTCATGCTCAAGCAGCAGAGAGAAATACTGTAGCTTCCTCTTGCCTTGGGCGGCTACACCCATCTCTGGGCAGAAAGTGAGCAGCTCCAAATGGTCTTAGCCGCAGATGCAAGCAATCATTTACTTTTCCATAAAGGAGTGCGGCTCCCCTGTGTGGGTGTTCTAACGGTTAGAGAAATTACATTACAGCACCTCCAGGCAGCAATCTTCCCGATGTGGCTATTTGAAAGTCCGTTACATGCTTTAGGGAAAGATCGGGAGGAGTGCAGAGGCTGGAGTGTTTCCCGACTTTACTGCTGCCGGCTGCTTTTACTGTCTGGCTGTTATCTTCCTCTGTTGTGAGAGATGGAGGGGTCTCCGGTGGGTGATTTAAAATAGCAAGATATAAACTGATTAGCATTCTCATTTTCGTCCTCTCACTCTCTCCATTACCAATCACTGACACATCAGCATAATGACACCTGAGAGATCTCAGCGTTACCATCCATGGTAACATCACCTTGACATGTCAATAAACGATAGGCACATACTTAAATCTCTAATATTTTACTAAATTATTTTAGCAGTGTTTTTAGCTCCAGTAATTCAAAATGTGAAGCACTGTGCTGATGCCAAACTCATTTATTCATTTATTGATAATAATATTTGTTTCCAAATAAAACTAAGAAAATGATCAAATTAAATAAAACAAAATAAATAATGAAAAGAATCAAATGAGCTACTAAAATGGCTAATTCATTTGTAAAGTATTTAATTTACTAATTATATATGTGAACACCCACTACCAAATAAATGTTTGGGGTCAGTAAGTTTTCTTTTTTGTTTGTTTGTTTAACAATTAATACTTGTATTCGGCAAAAATACAATAGTTTGATCAAAAGTGACAGTAAAAATGTTTTGATTTGATAAAAAATACATTTGAATGCAAATAAATAATCTTTTATTTGTTCTATAAAAATAATAAGCAACACAAACTGTTTTACAACTGTGATAATAATAAGAAATGTTTTTAGAGCACCAAATCAGCATATTAGAATGATTTCAAAAGGATTTACTTTGCCATCACAGGAATAAATTACATTTTAAAATAAATAAAAATAGAAAACAGCTATTTTAGACTGTAATAATATTTCACAATATTACTGTTTTATTGTATTTTTTGATCAAACAAATGCAAGTATTTTATTCCATACAGAAAATATACAATATAAAACTTGCTGTAATTTGCTCATACTGCAAACCACACAAAGTCAACCTCATTAATATAAAAGAATTATCACAAAAATAAGGAGTGTTGCCCTTGGGGCTAAATGGTTCCTGCTTTGTAGCTCTTGAGCTTTTCAGAGATGAGTAGCCCTGATTTATATTATGTACTGAATGCATGATTGCTAATTGAGTTTCTTACTGTGAGTTCTTTATTTTTTATTTTTCATATGACTCTGCTTCTTGTGGAGGCGTCTATCCTCTCTGCACTGATGCATAAAGGAGTTAAAGACAAGGTCGAGCATAAGCATGAAAAAGTACAAATAAATTAATCCAGTTTTCAGACTGTAAAAGTTCCCAAGGCGATGGGTCAATTAATGATTGAGAGTAAAAAGGAAAAAGACGACATGAAGAGGTTGACCCATAGAAATCGCATTTAAAGCAATGGAGGATTACTCAATATTGTTTTATGTATTTTTGTTTTGTTTCGATTTAACTCAAAAATGTATTCAATTACGGCCAGAATGTGCATGCAAGGGAACTTGAGCTAATGAAATAGTTTACGGCCGGATATCTTGAAAGGGAGGTAGAGTGAGCCATGGGACAATTACTTGTCCCATGGCTCAATGCTTTTTTTAATAAGCTGCATGTACTCGTAGGCTTTGGACCATCAACTCCCACTGAAAAAGTCAAACTCTCTTTTACATCCTTTCTTCTCATTTTCCTCTTATACGCTGGGAAGGCTAAATTAAAGCCACTATTTGCAATTAATTGCTGACCTTGGAGTGTGTTTTTTTTTAGTTCTCAGAACGCATGTGTTTCTAAACCGCTCAAGCTTCAAAAGTGTCTTTGTCTTTCTTACCTTGGACCAGTTAACCCTCTTCATCACGCTCTCAGGTTTGTAGATCTTCTTGGGCACCAGCCCATAAGGAAGTTGGACAACGAGCGGAGGAGGAGCCAAAGGCATACCCGGAGGTGGGGGCGGGCCTCCTCCAGGAGGTGGAGGCGGAGGTCCGAAGCCGGGTGGAGGTGGAGGAGGAGGAGGTCCCAGAGATGCAGGTAGAGGAGGAGGTGGAGGAGGAGGTATACCACCACATGGGGGCGGTGGAGGGGGCGGAGGAGGAGGTGGTGCAATGCCCCCTGCTGCAGGTGGTGGAGGAATGGCACTGGCTGCTCCAGGTCCTGCTGCAACCTGCAAAGGGATTACAAAGAGTGAGAGACAAGAAAAGGGCATCTTACGAGACCTCTGTGAGCGAAACATTCACCTCAACCACTCCCGTTCAGCCTCTATACCCAAAGGCCCAAGCTTTTATCACCATTACATGTTTTATCCCATCAGAACTAACGGGTGAGACAAGGGCAAAGGAGAGTGGAGGATAAAAGACACAGTGTTTACAGAAGCTGACTTTTCAATTTTAGGAGAGTGCATTACAACAAGTCTAAACATCACACAGAGAGAGAGAGGGGGGGGGGGGGGGGGGGGTGCTAGGGACTTCTCGCATGCATTAAATAAGAGTTGATATAAGCAGATGGATGATTTGGGGCCGCCGTGGCCTTCCCTCCGGGCACCTGTTCCCTCAGCAGCACTGAGCATCTGCCCATCTAGCGCACAGAGCCCCGCCTCCTGAGAGCCAAACAGGGGCTAGCGCTCAGAGGAGCGTGAGCCCACCGTCTGATTCTCTCGCTGGGGAAACTGGGACACAGCAATTCCTGAGGGGCAGGTAGTCACATTGAATATGTAAATAAATAAATGGCAGGTCGGTCGATGTGACCGATAGATTCTTCTGGAATGTACACACCTGCCAAGTGACTGGGATCTCAGAGGAGCAATTTGACAAGTATTGAAGCGGTGAAGTGTCTAATGGTGTGTTCACACCAACCGCGAATTTAATTATTTGCGCAAGTAGATTACATACAAAGTCAACGCAAAGACGCGAATAGACGCATCATTCGTGCCGGGCGTTGCGAATGACGCGAATTGGGCGACGCGTTTGCCGCGAATGTCTTCCGCACAAGGTGAAAAATTTGAACTCAAGCGAATGTTCAAGCGTCTAACTAGACGCGATAGACGCGTATTTGACGGTCTATTCGCGTTCGGTGTGAACACACAATTAGTGTGTATGTGATGGTAGGATTTTCTGGTGGACACTGGAGTGTTGTTTCATCCAGGGTCCAAAGTGAACACTAAGCCAAACTTGAGTAGAAATGGGATTTGGTGAGCAATTAAAATTACTTGTCTGATGTGAGATTCAAATAAAGTAAAAAAATAAATAAATAAATAACATACAAACTATCTACAAAAGAAAACATGTCACAACTTAATGTTTTAGCATACGAACATCTATTGAATTATTACTTTATCATCAAAAGACTATCTAGGATATTTTTATCTAGAACTCCATGTGAATGCATAAATGACTGCACAGGTTAATTGTGGACCCTACTGTAGCAAATGTTTAGTAAATAGAAAAAAACAAAAACATTGAGCTAAAGAAGGTGAGATAAAGCTTAACTCGGGGTAACATCAGGTACTATACAGCAGAATAATACAACCAACTTCTATGGGTCTCGTAAGATTCCTGTAAGCTTGACTGACTTCCACTCACACACAAACACAATTTAAAAGCCATTTTAGATTTAGATTAGCAGTAGAAAATGAAAAACCGCCTGACACTGAGGGCATAACTCAAAAAGAAACAAACATGGTGAAGTTTATTATGATCATCTGTTATTGTTTTTAAGACATAATGACATAAGCATTCATTCGTTCCATATGGAACATACTTAACTGTGATTACACTGAATGACAAGATGACAGTATCGATATTTGTTTGTGGATGAAATATGGAAAGCACTTTGTGTAGACTGATTCATCTCGTTTAATCATAAAGCATAACAGATGAGAGTAAACCATTAGAATTGATTAACATGTAAATTGCCTCTGTAATTTGCTAATAGATTGAGCGTATGAATGGGATGCAGCCACCTGAACCTTTAGCAGTAATGAGAAGAGTAATCGGGCTTGAACACTCATGCAACTGGTGGCGGCAGCCAGTCGACCTCACTGCTCCACCCTCTAGATCCTTAACCTTGAGCAACACTCCATAGAGTTTTTAACCAAATGTGCATTTCTTTTTCTTTATTGGTCATTTTTTTTCTCTCCTGGTAAGATAACTGAAGTTCACGAGATGGTCTCCAGGAAGAGAAGCCATTATGGAGGAGTCAGTCACTCAATTCATCCAGTAACTGATAAGAATAAGGGCAGTAAATGTCTTGACAAATCAGCCCTGCTCTGCTCACATAAACAGGTATTTTGAACCACTGATAAAGGGTGGGCCAGTCTCTTTAGCAACAAATGATATGCAAATGCTTCAATTAGAAGTCCCAATAGCCGAGATATGACTTGACCTTTGGATGATTACAAACCAATTGTTTCTCTCTTTTTTCCCTCCTCCTTCTCAAAACTTACTTTGTGCCTCATTCTCAACACTGCTGAGTAAAAAAGTTTCTCATTTTCTAAAGCAATTCCCCTCTCGGCGCTCCAGCCTCAGTTCAGTTGATTAGGAGTATATGCGTCGAGTCACATTTTTATATGCATTACCCAGTGTTTGATTACACAATGCAGGCAGTGGATTGTTTATTAGAAGGGAAATTAAAAAGGTGTAGAAGCATCATGCAGGAAGCTGAGGTCCCTTGACGAGTACCCTGTCCCATGATTATGCGTCTGTCAATCTCTGGCCCGTTGTGACCCATTTTCTCTCTCAAGTTTAATACAAGAGAATGGCAAGCAAATTAGCTGCTAAATTAGACCACCATCATTTCCGCATCGCTTTGGCCCTCTGTGGCAGCTTGTGGCGCGATGCAGACCCTCCAGCCACAGTTCGGGAATGCTAATCAGCCTCTGGCACACAATTTTCTCAAGACATACTCCTCATTCTCTTTGAATAATATCCATCATTTAGTTCAATTTTACAACAAAAACATTTTATACAGGAAAAATGTTTCATTTAAAGCTCATTTCCCCCTATGGTTTCCTTTTGGCATTTTGTCTCGTTTTAAAAAAGCAATTTACTTCCAAAAAGTCTGGATTGTTAAAGGTCTAAGCTGGCCACTGACCTGGACTTGCTCGCCGTCTCACATACGTTTAGTTGCACTAATTAGCAGTCGTGTGTCTAAAACTATGTGTTCTATGGACAGGAGAATATCAAGAGGACAAGTATCCGTTTACACTCTCAACGGGTGGGAGGGCACTCTTGGTAGAAACAGTCACAGTTTGGGTAATTAACTAGGACTAACACACAATTAAACCATCCCAATCTCATCTCTGATGAGCAAGAGGAAAATTAAATTAGATCTGGTAACTACTGAGGGTTACAATACTCTTGTTAAATGAAAGGATGGGTTTCATTTTTCCCTTCAAGCTTGAACTGGCTCTGGTAGCCTGTTCTATCATGTTCCTGCAGCTTAAGTGGAAGAGAATGGTGCTAGCAACCCCAAAGTAAGTGTTTGATTCCCAGGGAACAAACAAACTGTTTGCTTCATATACTTTCTAGTGTCTGTGGTAATATTCTAGTTCACAGTATAGAGATTATATTTGGCAGGATCCACCATCACAAGCTGTTTATATGCTGGATACGTGGAAAGGATTATGGCCTAATTGTGTAGCATGCATTTGTAATGGATGATTGAACAGCATCTGTTGAGAGTCTTGAGACAATACAGAAAATCAAGGCTCTGCCTGATCACTGAGGGGTAACAGCTTTGATCAACCTGTTAGAAGGTATAAAAAATGCAGATTTTCAAAGATGCAGGCAGGTGGCTGCTTTGAGCATGCTGGGAAGGGAAGGGGAGGTTGGGAGAACACCCACCTTGCTGTTTCTTTCGCTGATGCTTTTCTCTGCCTCTCTTAGCTTGTCTCTCTCACTAGTCAACTGGACAGGTGAGGGACAGACAGACACATACACAGACAGACAGAGCAACAGTAAGGCAAAGACCAAAGCTGGAAAAGGAGAATGGTAAAGAAAAAGTCAACTGCCAACTTTGCTGAAGGTCACATGGCAATAACACTTGGTGACAACAAGAAATTGGATGCAAGCAGCCTACTTGAACATTATCAAAACACACTGTTTGCCTACTAATAAAGTAATACAGGGTTTCATTAGTTGCTGTGAGATTCTCACTCCAGAAAAGTTTTTAAAAAGAGTGAATTCACAAATTAAAAAAATCATTAAACATCCTTAATTCTAGTTCCAGACACAACAGAGCAAAACAATGCCCACCCACTTTTTTAACTTTCTTGGATGATTTAAGAAAAAATACTTTGTTAAAGAGTTAAAAGCCATGACCAACCCACCTGCTACGCAAAAATCAAACTTTGATTTGCAATCAAAAAAGTATTTAAAAATTGGATAAAAAGATAAAGGTACAAGACTTGTGTACAATCCCATGAAGTACTGTGACTCTATAATGTCTTTTTTTTTTTACTTCTGGAACCTGACACTTTATTGGCTCCAGTCATTTCCATGATGCTTTTGTTTCAATAATGTCAATTTCTAAGGAAAGTTCAAGGCGAAACAGACGACAATGCAGTAAATTGGTTGTTGTGCAGTCAATGCAGCTTTGAGTCTTTTAGAGTTGCTTATGGAATCCTGTTCTTTCAAATCCTTCCCATTACTTCACTGTCAATGAATTTTGCGCAAACACTTAGAATCAGCAATGCTTCGCACCCACTTTGAACTCGCTATGAGAATGACAAAAAGAAAAGGGGAAAAATAACATCTTAACAGCCTCTTTTCATTCAGAGAAGCATACTCCACTACCAATGAAATACACTTATATGGTGCAATTCCCCCATATTGCACATAGGACGGAATCAAATATTAAAGACATGTAATGGAAAAGAAGATGGATACTTCCATGGTGAAGACTGCAGAAAAAAAACAACCTTTGATATTTGAAATGCTGTCCTTGCTTTAGTAAGCTTTGATTTTATAACCCTCTAAAATGCGAGTAAATCATTCACATATGCAAACAAATTACAAGAGAGGTGACAAAAAATGGCTTTAATTATCCAATGACTTAATTGTACGATTACAGTCGCCTATAATTTAGTTAGAGGCATTTTTAAAAACATTTTTAAAAATACATTAAGCGCTGATATACTTTCATTGTCTGCTGAGCTTTACGCACTGTTGCTTGGCTGAGAGCGCCCACTATCTATCACACAAGCGCACTCACCGTGAGAGAACGAGAGAGCACATGCATGGCTCGTTGACAGAACTTTAGGACCAGTGCTGCATCGTCATGATAGTTTATCATTTGTACATGTTTTTAAGCCTTGCCAATTTAAACAATCAAGAACAAGAAGCAAAAAATGCACATCAGATGCTCGTGCCCAGAAAGCCATGTTTGACAGCACGTAAATAACTGAATTGAGCTCACTTTCACGTCTTGGCGATTATTGTAGTAAACATAGTTGGTTATGTCTTAAGTGAACATAAACAATCAAGAGAGAAAACACGTGTAAAAGTATCAGTATATTGGATCCGTGCATTATATCTTAAAGTAACACTATGTAGTTTTTCAACCTTCATAATATATTTCCAAGACCATTCTGATGGTATATCGACTTACAATAGGTTAAATGACACGTCTGCCATAGCCTGACGTAGTCTGTATCGCTTTTACTTGCACTATGTAACTTCGGGTTTCGGGTAGTAACCGGAGCACAAAAAGAACTACAAAATTTGACTGCTTTACGGCATACGTCACTTCCCTCACCACTTCCTCAAATTGTCTGTGGCCATTGCAGACATCTCAAGTCTCCCGGGAGTCTCCCGCATATTGATAGCGTCTCCCTGATGCCCCCAAATTAGTTCAAATCTTCCGGAATCTAGAGCGCGCATGCGAGACAGAACATACTGAGCGCATAACATACATAGCGCCCCCGTCAACATTCCAGTCACCAAGATATACCTCCCTGAAATGACTTCTTGCAGGTTGGGATGTCTGCCATTGTTGATTCCAAAGCCGGTCCTGGATAAACAGCTAGCGTGCGCGTGCGACAGTAGGCTGCGGTAGGCTAAATTATTTACGACAGTGGTAATGGACAATTCCACTTCCAACCTGTAGGGCGAAAAGTTCCTTGGTGTTGCTTTAAAGTAGTAGCAGCCTAATATTCCTCAATCAAACAAAAGACTTACTGCAAAAATTCACTCAATGCTTTTGACTGAATAACTTTTGTAACTTAAATAAGGATCCATCCATATTTAATGTATACAGTGAAGACTATGCAGTGTTATTTTACATTTGATTACTTGATTCAATTTCTGTAACTAATCAGCATCTAACAACTGTTAGATCTACTTGAAAACCTGAAAGCCTTTATTTAATTTGCATCTTTGTTATATTGTGTTTATTTGTGCTATTGCTTGTAGTTTGATTATTTTTTCTTATTTTATTACTTGACTTTAATAGTGTTTGAAATTTATATTTTATATTTATATTATATTTATGTGTAACTTCATTTGAATTGTTCTTGCATTCCATGTAAAAAGTCTGGCGAGTAAAATAAAAAATGTACTAGCCAATGGCAACTCAAGCTTCAGTGTGTCCGTAGAGGGTTGTTTTATCTTTATTTATTTTTGAAGATGGGAAGGGCAGAACATCAGCCAACACACTGAACGTTGTCAAGAAGAACAGCAGCATCTTCATATTCCGTGTGATAGTTTCCTCAAAGAGAAAGAGATAGGGATGGCACACGCTGCATCTCAAATGAATCAGCCTGTAAAGGTGAATGGCCAAGCTTTGTCCCCTGATTCTGACCATGGCAACAACAAAAAGCACATGGCAACCAACTCCATGATTCAAGTGTTGTGCCGTCCTTATCAGCATCATTACCAACATACTCTTCCAGATCTAGCCCAGCAGCAGCAATAAGACACAGGCCCAGCTCTAAACGCACTGCAATGTTACGAGTCCCATGTTGGTACAGACAGCTGACCGCAGATCTTTCTGAAGCCTATCCGGGTGCTGTAAAAGATTTCTCCCCCAGTATCGCTTGAGTTCTGAATAATTAAGTGAGATACTGTTCGATTCCTCACCTCTGACTCTATTCCCTTTCTATTGAATGGCCAAGAGAGAGGGAGAGAGGGTTGGGGGTTGTTGAGGAAGAGAACCCTGCATACATGTTGCACTTTATTGGTATTAACATGACTGAAGTCAAATCAAGTAGGGAAAATATCAATCCACCACACCATGAAAAAATAGAATTTGGTTACATACTTATTTAAAACTGGGCTTGGCAGAACAACGGAGCAGAAGGCCTAATAATACATGCAGTCTCATTAACTCTTAAAAATACATGAATTAACAGTGCAAAGCTCTTTTATTATTTAATTCTTTCTATTTCATATTCAGTCTGTCCGAAATTTTCCATACGGCGGCTTTGATGAGATCAGAGGACTATTATTTTCACATGAGCTGTTGCGCTGCTTGCTCTGAATAATGGCTCTCTTCAATTGTGTTAAAGCAAATCTGTTGATAAGCATGTTTTTGCTGTCATCTCTTTGTTGTCCTTGAACCTAGGTCACCCAAATGGCAAAAAAAATATGTTAAAAAATGTAACATTCATGCTTGTTAGCTCAAAACTCCTAAAATGTATATTATAATGTAACCTACTGAGGCTTATTATAGAAATAGAGAGGTAAAATATTGAGAATTTGAAGAGGTGACCTTTGGATCATTAATTCAGATGAGAGGTTTCATTGATTGGTTGTAGGTTTTGTGTTTTTGCTATTGGAAATAAAATAAATTGAAATAAAAAAAAATGAAATAAAAATAAAATAAAAATAACTTTATATAAAAATATATAAAATAATTAAATTAAATATTATTATACAATATGTTTAGAAACCAAGTTCTACTTCCCATCTGTACCAGACCATCAAAGAATAAGAAGTAGGCATGTGGGCTGAAGTGTGGGTGAGCGTAGTCAGTTTTCACGGTGATGTCTTGTGCACCGACAACATTGTGAAACTGCAGAGGGAGAAGAGTTCTACACCGGCTGTCTAATAAAGGATACAATTTGTAAGCTTTGCGCATGACAACCCATGAGTTTATATCCCTTTCAGATGTGCCAAAACACCCACGGGATGAGTGCAACACTTTAATGCTAATATCCTGGTGCTTCCTTAGCGAGCGCATTACATGTTCTCCACCAGAAGCACCAGAAGTCTGTTGATGCGAGAATGTTATGGAGCCAAAGCTTTGAACGTGCCTTCAGAGCGCACGCTTGGAAAGAGTATGCGTCTCCAGGGCTCTGCTTCGCTTCTCTACCTGTTAATGTGCTGGAGATGACTGAGCTTCAAAGAGAATGAGATCGCCATGGGGTAAGACTGGAGGACACCCAGGGAAAAATAACAGCCGAATGACACTGTGGTCCAGGAAAGCAAAGCAGAAGAGAGCAGGTGAGCAGTCATTAACAGGGTTTCAGTGTCTGCATTAGGTGCATGCAATATGTCTCGGTATGAATGAGTGTAGAAAAGGAGGGATGATGGTGACTGATGAGGAGTGGAGCGCAGAGAGGCCTGGGCTCATGAATATGTGTAGGAGTTGAGAAAGTGATGGACGAGGCAGATGGAGGGAAGGAGGGAGACAGAGTGGGTAACGTGCAGTGATTCGGCTCTCGGGGCAGACGAAGTGCAGGGGTGAGGACTGCCCACAAATGAAGTGCCGGGCACTGAGAAGCTCTGCTTTGCACTGGGAGGAACCTGTTCCAGCCCCGCCTCCACTAATGTGCCCATTTGGTACATCTGTGAGAATGAATGGTGGTCCAAGCTGCCAGGGTCCTTAATGACAGCAACTCATCTTGGTTTAGAGGTGGGAGATGCTTGTTGGGGGAAGATGGGGGCAATAGGGCTTGGAGATGTTGAGAGGTAAGTAAACAGAAAGACGAAGTGCTGGCTTTTCCGACTGCAATATATTTGGTTTCTGGAAAACTATTTACGCCGTGGATGGCGCCTCACAAATGGTGTTTTTTCCCCTCCTATTAAACTCCATAAGCTAGCAGGCAAGCTACTTCTTTTATCCCAAGGCACCACTAAAATCTAAAATGTTTAAAATTGGGTTTAGTAGGAAATAGCAGTCATTTTGCGGGTGAAGGACTGAGGGTTTTTCTTGACAGAAACGATGATGTGAAAGGCAAAGACGTAACGCAATCCCTCACAGCGTTGATACAATATCTAGGAACAGCCTGCGATTGAGCAATTGAGAAAAATCAAATCCAACAATTTGAGGGGGAGATTGGCCCTTTATTAAATCATACAATCCCTCAAGTCTTAAAATACCCACTTAGAGCACCACTGCATTCACGATAAAAGATAAAAAGGTTTCAATTTGACCAAATTAGCAGAGTCTCTCCCTTCGCCGCCACATTAGAAGTTGGATTACCATTTGAAGCAGACAGAGAAAAACAGCTTCATATGACCTCACAACACACAAAATAAGTACTAGTGATCCTCATGTGTTTGTATAGCTCTTTTCCAGGGCATTTTATGCGCCAAGGCACTAAGCATCAAGAAGGTTTCGTGATAGAGACAAATAATTTAATGCCTGGTAGTTTAATAGTCATTGGAGAATATTTGTGAGGTGAAGAAAGGCAGTCGGGAAACCAGAAAAGTAGGTTTGTTGCTTCATGGATCTATAGGATAAAGGGCTCTTATAAGAAAAGATTGAAACCACCAAGCTCTCATGAGGAAAGAAAAAAGAGATCTCAGAGGATTTATAAGCCTCTGAGAATACAACAAAGAACAGATCGGTTCTGTGGTATAATCAGTGCCAATGGAAGGGTAGACTATGCATGTTAAAGGTGAACACATGGGCCACAGCATCAGTGGTAGCTTCCATTAGCATTAACCTGTGTTCGATACCCTTGGGTTGAGATCGCAGAGCAGCTGAATGGGTCATATCTAGGTCATACAGTTCGTGAACCTGAAGTGGTGATAAGGAAGAGAAGAATTTGTACAAAAGGTAATGGTGCAAGTGTTACCTGGGCCTGCAGGGTGTTGATCTGCGTCTCTAGCACTTTGATTTTCTCCTCCTGCTTCTGCAGCTCGGCCTGTGCCTCCTGCCGTGCACTAAACTCCTCGTCGAACTGAAAGACAACAACACACATACAAACACATTGAAGTAACTCTGCAAATACCAAAGGATACATCAACATCTTCCCCATTTCTCTCCACATTCACTATCATCGTCATCTTGATCAAGGGCTAAGCTTATAATGGCTGCAACTAACACCTGGGTCTCATTCACTCATAAAGTAATCTAACGTGTGTAGAAAGAGTTTTTGCTGTACTTTGTGATCATACAATACATGTAGCCTCAGTGAGCATAAGAAACTTCTTTCAAAACGATCTGATCGACCCAAACTTTTGAACAGACGACAGAGTGTATATAAATATTAAATACATCATACTATTAAATATATACTATACTATAAATATTTCCAAAAATATACAAAATATATTGCAAAAATACACACAGAAAATGTGCAAACACAAAAACGAATAATGATTCCTGAAAGCACTGGTACACACACAAACACAAGCACACATAGTGAAAGAGACTCAATGCTTTCAGCCGTCCAGTAGTATTTGTGTTACTTTTCCATTAAACTGCAAGCCTCAGATGTCTGGCTGACATTTGGCAGAGTTGGGCAGGAAGCTGAGCAAGAGCATGGATACACTCTATGTTCCCTCAAGCATCATGGGATACAGCTCTTGGCTTCACTGACAACACCAGCAAGTGTTATGAACCTCCAGAGAAAACTTTTCAAGTATTAGTAAAAAAATGACAAAATTGTACGTTGGGGCCTTTAACACTATTTGAAATGGTGCCTGTAAATAGTGTTCCCAGTATGGCACAAACAAGCTTGGAGATTGGAGCATCAGCATTGATTCTGCTTGCACTGATACAGATCATGTTGCTCTGTTGCCAGCTATTGATCAGGTGAGAGCAATCAATGCACTGCCTCATCGCTCATGGGAGAAAAGTTTGGTGACAGCAGCCTGGTTGCATACCAATAGCAGCACCTAGGGTGATTAATAAACTCACCTTTTTGGAGAATTCTGCTGCTCTCTGCTCACTCTCTTCTACCTTGGCTTTATCCACGCACTGATCTGTCATACACAAATAGCCGGGTACATGAAAACACACAAAACACAAGTATATGCAAATTCCACGGTGCATTGTTAACACGATGGATAAGATTCCATATCAGACACCGAATGAAGAAAACTAAAAGAATAAAAACAGCGAACGGACGGAATAAAATGAACCTGTCAGTTGTATTCTGTTCTGGGGGTTTGAGATGTAAATTTAAAAAACGCTGCCCCGCAAGGGAAGAAGTGAAAAAATCTATAAAAAAAAAATTCTGCAGATTGGTTTGGAAACTTTTAATGAGCGTTTGTTGGCAAGTTACTAAAGTGTTAGTGACAAAACAAAAAAGGGGGGCAAAAAATCAAAAAAAGAGGGCAAAAAATTTAAATCACCCTTATTTTATTAATTCCTTTGCTGTCCAAGAACTGGGTGAAAAAACCATTGGCAATGAATGCTTATTTCCCCACCAACATTTAATTGTACAAAACAAATAAAAAATTCCAGGATTGCAACTATAATCGGTCGTGTTGCGTTTATAAGACATGACATGCCAGCCAGGTTTTGCAGATAATGTTTTATTTATGCATAATGAGTGTAGCTTATCGTATGTGTCAGGTGAGTGCAGGTGTTTCAGACAGGGCTCTCATGGGGACCGGGGAATAATAATTAGATCTACTCCAGGAAATTGCTAACTTTTATCAACTGCAATTGTGTCTCCCTCAACGCAGCATGATTTCACAGTTATGTTAAGACAGACTGTAGTGTGAATCTGTGCAGGACTGTTGTAATAATACTGTAGACATCCCATTAAGCCCACAAAAAGTATTTCTAGTAGATTTGATTGAAGTGATTTAAATCAATACCGCTCTCTCGCTTTTACCTAAAGCTGGTTACCGAAACCTGAAACTCTTTTTATTCATTCTGAAATGTTCTGGCCACTTTATCACATGACCATACAGTTCAAGACAGAATGTAATAGTCTGGAAACTGAGTTGTCCTAATAAATAATAACTTAAGCGGAAGTGCATAAAGGTTTAGTGTGGTGCTCATAACATAAAGACGTTTTCTGCAAGACACAGGAGACCTAATCTCAGACTTGCCGATGAGGTGACTGAAGTCCACATCCAGTCTCTCCCTGTAGGCAAAATCAGGGTCCATCCCACTGCGGTGGAGGACAATCTGGGACACACACTCCTCGATCACCTTGTAATACTGAGGCCTGTAATAAAAAGAAGGAGTACTGCGAGAGTGAGGGGGCAGAACATGACAAGAGACAAAGCCGTTAACTTCATATAAAATACCGCCTTGTGCATTCCGGTGAGGAGAGTTCTTCATAAATCATCCGGTAAGACATATCTTTTAATGGTATTTCACGGTATTGAATTAAGGTTTCCTTTGGTACATAATGAAATCACTAACGGCAAAGCATGCAGCCGTTGGGTGAGCAGTTGGGTGACTTTGTCCATTCAAGGTGAAGACAAACTGACATCCGGGCCTCCGTGGTTCCCTCTCTAATTTGCAATCATCTTTGGCAATTAAGGGCGGTAATAAAACCTGCAGACGCAAATCTAATCAGTGTAATCTGTGTAATTAGTCACACAATGGAAGGGAAAACACGGCCTTGTGTTTGGAAGGGTGACAATGACGGGACGGGGAGTAAATGGGTCTGGGACTAGATACTGCCATGGCGCTTAGCGAGTGACCTTTTCCAAGTTATATTACCAATTTAATTGCGAGTGACATTTAACAAATACAATGTCGACTTAAGCCGAGCTCAGTAGTGGCAAACAATTATGTTCCAAGCATGACCTTGAATGTCTCTTGTAGGTATTCAATTTTCCTCCCAGAAATGTGTCGTCCCCTTCTCTCGGCTTCTCGACACAAAACAAGCTTTCGAATTCTAATGAACAAGCATGACTTTAAAAATGTCCCTGTGCTAAATAATTGCACCACAACTCTTAGCTAAAGCCACTTAATTCTAGAGCATTAGATTATTTTAATCTCCAAACATTCTTGTTTGATAAACAATATTTGCGGGGGAATATAGCTAAGCTAATGGATGAATGACAGTTTGTTGACCCAAGTTAATGAATAACGCAACAACAGGAGTGTTCTTTTGCTCATCTTTACAACCTATATATACAATCTATATTCCATGAAAGGCTGCCTATGGAACATTTCATTTTAAGACATGTGTGCTCGAAGGTGCCTCTAAATAACAATAAGCAAGCTTTCAGGTGCTCTCTGATCAGTGTTGTTATTTACAAATAAAACCATTAAAAATAGTTTCCATTCATTGAAATAAAGCTCAAATAAAAATAAATAATATTAGATGAAAAACTAAACTTAAATTAAAAGTGTTACTTTGGTAACTACCTGAAATTAAGTATTAAAGCCACTAAAACTAAAACTGATTAAAAAAATAATAATAACTTAAAGCTAAATAGAAATTTTGACACAAAAGCCTTACTGAAACTTAAATTAAAATTGAAAAATAAAAATATAAAAATAAAAGCAAATTCAAAATCTTAATAAATAGTACAAAAGTATACAAATAATATTAAAACAACACGGTCTCTGATAGGAATATTCCCATTTAATGTACTGCAAAATGCTAAAGTACATATTTATTAAAAAGAAAAGAGCAGAATTACATCATCAAAGAGTTCTTGTTCTAACATTTAAACATGTTTTGATTAAAACCAGCTATTAAGACATTAACTATAATTGGATGTCTCTCCAATCTCAATGACAAATAACATATTTAAATAACATATTTAAATAACCGAACAAATAATCATATTCGCACAATTTGCCAATTCAAGGCCTTGTTGTAGGAAACACGGCAGCAATGTGTAATAAGCGTGCAGAGGGGGCGGACGGGGTGGCTGGAACTGATAGGGCTGAGAGTGTCACCGAGCCTGGCTTAGTGGCAAGGCCCGAAGCTTATGCCTGTCACTGATGTACACCATATCATTATCTCAATAAGCCGCCCTATTTTCTCAACATCCTGGCTACCACCACTGCCGCATGCTGGATAGAACCGGGAAGAAGACGACTGACCCAGAACTGTCAGACCACAACAGAGGAGACAGCATATGTCCCACTCAACGGAGCCGCTCTTTCCTTCTCTCTCTCTCTCTCAGTCTGGCACCTTCACTGTCTGCCTCTCATCTCCCATCCAACCCCTGCTCCACACTGCCCATCTAATCTTTACATCAGTCATGGCCAAAAGTAGAAGATGTGCTCCATATACCCTCCCTATGATCTACCTTCTGTTACAGAGTCTTAGGGAGTTATTGCCCAACATCTTCCACTGCTCCAAAAAGCAGTAAAAAGAAAGCCAGAAGGACTTTGGTAACGTATTAAATTGTTAAGTTTATTTTATTTCATTTAAAAAAAGGTTATTAAACAAATTGAGGGAACACTTTCCATACAAATAACCAAGGACAGAGTTGAGGGCACAGAGTTAACTGAGGATAAGGGTGTCTGGTTTAAATGGTTATAAAGAATGGCTTTAAATCAAACGATGCAATCTATTGGCATGGACAGCTCTCCTTTATGGCTGGCTTTGATCACCAGAGTACCTCCTAACACCTATGAACAAGAGCGACGCTGTCGCCTGATATGGACTGAAGTAGAGAGATGCCACCAGCCTATTCTTCCCGCCCTCTCCTTGGAGACTCGGCCATCAAAGCATGCACTGATCTCAAAGGATCCCTTTAATCTAAAATTATAGCCATAGAATTTCCCAACCAGCAAATCCAATCTACATAAAACGTTGCACCAGGTTCAAAAGCATCCAAAGACATGACTGATGAGATCTTTATAGAGTGACCATGTAATACAGATCCATATATGAGACAACAAACACAGCTGCATATCCATCTTTAGATGCTAAGCTTGGGAAATATATACGTTTTGATGCAAATAAAAGTGTCATTGCTCAAACTTCGCTCTTTTAAAGCTCAGGATTTCTCAGGATTGTGATACAAAGTTTTATGTACTTTGTATCACAATATTTGTGGGATTACTATGGCCTATTTCTCAAAAGAAAAATCTGACAGGCAGGAAACTTAATTTTCTCTTCATTTAATCTCATTGGTGACAAAAAGAAACAATTGGACCCCATTTACACCTGGTATTAAAATGCGATCTGTATCCAGATAAGTTATCCGGATAATAAAAAACGCATGTTAATGCAAGGTGTAAATACGTTGTGATCGGATTGTGATCGGATCTGTCTGACCACATCTGGAGGTAGTCTGGCTCGCATTGTGTTCGGATCTTTACTAGGTGTAAACACAATCCGTACGACGTGATGGCATTCGTGCCTGCCAAACGTCATTTTTTTTTGTCATTTTTTTTCTGGAGGACAGAGATCCGAACTCAATGTGGATAACAAGAACGCATTAAAAATACAACGTGTAAACGCAAAGGTAAGATCAGAACACTTATTATACGGATAACAGATCTCATTTTAATACCAGGTGTAAATGGGGTCTTGGAGACATTAAAGAGATTGTTCGTGTTGTTTTTCTTTAGTCTTTAATAAGTGCATACATTTTTAATCAGCATTTGTAGTGATCCTGTTTTCTGCTGTCAGAGTTACAGACATGGGATGGCACTGAACAAGAATCTGCCATACTACTTGCTTAATGTGTTTTCTATTTCTCGCTTTTTCCAACAAGCAAGGCAATACATTATTCATAGCTCAAAGTTAGCAGCAACATGTCCATGGTAAATTCCCTCCCTTTCATCGCTTCGCTCATCCCTTTTTATTAAATATTTTACCTCTGCAACAGGTCTGATGCAACAGTGAACTGAAATGCTCAGTATCATTTCTTCACTTTCTGACAGACACACATACTCTTGAGTGCTTGAATTCTGATTCAAGACATCGTTAATAAGCGGTATGACTAAAATATTTTATCATGATAGAGGTAATTTTATATTATTAACATGGTTATTATCATTTTATTTTACTTAATTATAATTTATTTTGTCTATTAATTTAGTTTTATTTATTTCCATTTATTCTCAATTATAATCTCGGAATTATCATACTCAAGTATGTTTGTCAAGTCAACAGAAACTGAGAAAAGTGTTAATGAACAGGTAAGTGCAGTCTTATAATATCACATTTATGGAATGGATATTAAAAATAAGATATGATAGCACTCACCTGATATAATAATCATTCCTGATGAGCAGCAGGTGCTGGAGAATGGATAGGAAGTAAGATTCTGAGCCTGTGTCTTTCACCATGTTGGACAGGAGATGGTACACCTCACCCATATCAGTGCATGGATTGTTAAGGACACAACTGTACATCCTGTTTGTTATGTAGTAAAACAAAGTTGATCTAAACATGACATTTATATATACGTAATCCTTATAAGACTGTTTATAAAATATACACTAGAGTGACAGGAATGATTAAAAGTGCAGTGGTATGGTTCTAAAATGAAAAATAACAATTAAGTGTGTGCAAATATAACTAAAGGTGCATGGCCATCTTTACTCACTGGAAATAACTTGCTTCCTTTAATTCAGATAGAGGGATGAGACCAAGGTTGAGTAACCAGAACTGAAGCTATCTCTTTATCCATTCTAAAGTGTCTTTAGGGATCTAATTTGCTAACATGAGTAAACACAAGGATTGAAGAAAAGTGACAGAAGAAATACCTCTTCTGCCAGTTCTACCCTGGCCCTGGGCATGAATTAACTGAACATTCTTTAAGTTTGATTATTTGAAACCATAAAACATGGATCAGTCACGACTGACATCCCAACCCTCCCAGTTATGTCCACTTGAGTAAAATGAATGACTGAATCTATTTTCAATGGTGGCAAGCTAAACCATGTGATGATTAAATGTAGCACTCGGTAATGGTCCTAGGATGGAGTTAATAGAACAACACTGACCTTAAAAAAACAAAACAAAAAACTTGATTATATTAAATAAAAAAATAAGTACGGCCATAAATAGTGTGTACAGTTGCATGCTGACTGCATGGTGATGCACTGCCTAGACTGGAGCACACTTTCTTGAGCCACCATATTCGCTCCTTTCATTCCACTGGGATAGAAAACAAAGCTGTGGAGGCTCAATATTTAAAGGAAGAACTAAAAAAGTAAAGCAATTCTGTCTCCATTTAATTAAAATCTGCCTCAGGATAGAGTACTATATATTCTTTAAAAAAAATATCAACTAAAAACAGAAAAAAAAACATATATTTTATTATATAACTCTATATTTATGGAATAATAATAAAATGGAAAGATAAGACTTCAAGCCCCTGAACTGCACTTTAAAAACTGCCCTTGCTGCAAACCAATCTGTCCCACTAATGCTGAACATTTTCTAATTAGCTCATATCATTTCAGTTATTCATAGAGTTGTGAGTGTATCCCATGTTCTGTCAACTCAATATGAGAATACAAGCATCTTCAGAGCATTATTGCTGATAACACAGGTGATCTGCTTAAGTGAATTATTTTCTCCACACTTCAAAACCAGCAAAACACACCGGAAAGTCATTCTATCTATTAAGCAGGGCCATGAGTGTGAACACAGACACACCGTCTGTGCATATTTGTATTTTGGGCATGTTTGCAGTAATATACTGATAGGGAAGGTGATGCATAAACATGAGCTGTATCAGCATGAGGCTGAGCAATACAAAAGACAGAGAGCGAGGGTCAATCAATCACGCTGCCCAACTTTTAACAATTAATATTCAACAACTTCCTGAAGTCACTACAGTGGCCAGAACTAAACTGAACCAGAAGTGCTATATTCTTAATAATAATAATAATAATAAATATAGATGCAAGCATTACATTTTTGACCACAAGGGGGCGCTGCCCTAAGACTTTTTGAGTACCTTCAGGGCATGGTGTCGAAGGAACATACTGAGTTTCTAAATGATATCCCAATGCGTTTGTAAACAATAATATGCAAAAACATTACAATTACAGCTTTGGATCTTTTTTTGTCATTTTGAAATTAAAATGACAGCCATGTTTTTCAAGGTACATACAATGTCATAATGGACTATGATATCAACTGAGACAAAGACACTGCGTGTCAATTTTGAAATAAATCAGATCAAAAGTACTGTAGTTAGAGCCAATTTCATGTTTTGTTCAATTATAGCGCAACCAAGTGGTGTAGTCCCACTGCTTTTTTTGTGTGTGTCCTCAGAGTCCTCATACATAAGTGTGTCAAATTTGGTGAAAATATCTAATTTCGCTTTGGAGTTATAGACATTTATATTTATGAGCACAAAGAAAATGATCCACACTAGGTATTTTTTTGCCACTTACTATCACATTTTGGACATTTGGCATTTAAAATAATTTTAACGACCTATGTTTCCGATTTTCCTACGGTGGTTTCGTCTCGATCGGCTACCGGTTTCGAAGATGTTTGCGAAAGTTGTTTAGCATGTTCGGTCTCATTGGACTCGGCAAGGATTCAGTAATCAAAGGAGATGACTCCCAAATCCAAAGTTATAAGCTTGTGCATATTTGATTTTACCACTAGGTGGCACTGGCTCTAAACTTCTCAGGCTCCTTCAGGCAATCGTACCGATGACCCATACCGAGTTTCGTAACTACACGCACGCAGACAGACAGACAGACAGACAGACAGACAGACAGACAGACAGACAGACAGACAGACAGACAGACAGACAGACAGACAGACAGACAGACAGACAGACAGACAGACAGACAGACAGACAGACAGACAGACAGATAGATAGATAGATAGATAGATAGATAGATAGATAGATAGATAGATAGATAGATAGATAGATAGATAGATAGATAGATAGATAAACAGACAGACAGGCAGACAGACAGATAGATAGACTCGCTATTTGTAAATATTCAGGGTGGGATTGGAAAAACGTTTGGCGTTTTGAATAAGAAGCAGGGAAATGAAGGACTGAGAAAGACAGAGACCGTTGCTTAGACACGCATATTACACAAGGCACTTACAGATCAATGCCAAATTGTCCTTAGAGACAAATGTTGTGTCTCTTGCACAGTTGACTGCTCACGAAAATCATTAGTCCAGACAGCCTGAACTAAAAGTCTAGATTCTCCATCATTTCAGCGAAGCTTTGCCTCCGAGAGCTTATGGAAGAGCGAAACGATAAAAAAAATCAACAAATCAAAACTAAAATAACCGAAAATATATGCTTTACTCTATTTCGAATTCAGTGAATGGCTTCAAGCTACTTTATAGAGGGTACTGCGAGGATACACACACAAATCTAGAAGCTACTGCATATGGCTGCCACGTACGCAGCTGTGGCCTGAAGGGTCAGATGCAGATGTAGAAACAGGGAGAAAATAAGTGTGAACGGATTTCCATAGTTGCGTAGCATAGTCTATCCGCAGATTTGAGGGGAATGAAACAGAGGAGAGGTGAGTGTAGAGGTTGCTCTCTGTGTCTCTGGAATGTCAGTATAATGAGCTCAGGGCCAGAGGATGCTGGGATATGTGTGTGGTGCGTGCATGTGTTGATGTGAAGAGGTTTGTTTACCACCACAGTTGCCAGAGGCTGGACTGGAATTGAAAAAAAAACCCTGATTCTCAAATCCCTTCTGAATGAACTGGAGGTCTTGGCTTTAGACCCATGAGCTGCACTGGGCGCCCTCACGGCTCCACGCACGGCCGAGGCAGAGGTAAAAAGGATATTCCATCTCTGCACGGATGTCATCTAGTCGGTGAGACAGTTCGATGGAATCCTCCTCCTTATTTTCATTAAACACCTTCAGCTGAATGTCCAGCTCTTCCGTCTCCTTCAGCTCCTGTGATTACAGAGGGTGATGTGAGAGGAATGAATGAGTTGTCATATAACACTGATGATAAAAGAGGAAGTTCGAGAAAATGTCTGGTTTTTGAACAGCTAAAAAACCTTTTTTTTACATAACCCACTTAAAGGCCTCTAAAGAAATCATAATGTTTTGTGGCATTTAGTCCATGTCTGTGAGTTAAGGCCATGTTAGTATACTGCTAAATGTTGAGAAGTTCAATTTTAGCAGACATACAGTCCCCGGTCAAAAGTTTGGAAACATTAACGTTTTTAATGTTTTTGAAAGTAGTCTCTTAATCTCACCAAGGCTGCATTTATTTGATCAGAAATACAGTAAAAAAAGATCATGACACTGAAGACTGAAGTAATGGCTGCTGAAACTTCATCTTTGCCATCATAGGAATAAATTAAAGTTTTAAAATAGAAACCAGAAACCAGTTCATTTAAATTGTAATAATATTACACAGTATTAATGTTTTTACAGTATTTTGATCAAATAAATGCAGCCATAGTGAGATTAAGAGACTACTTTCAAAAACATTAAAAAACCTTACCGTTTCCAAACTTTTGACCGGTGGTTTATCCATCCATCCATCCATCCATCCATCTTCTTCCGCTTATCCGGGGCCAGGTCACGGGGGCAGCAGTCTAAGCAGAGATGCCCAAACTTCCCTCTCCCTAGACACTTCCTCCAGCTCTTCCGGGGGGACACCGAGGCGTTCCCAGGCCAGCCGGGAGACATAGTCCCTCCAGCGTATCCTAAGTCTTCCCCGGGGTCTCCTCCCAGTGGGACGTGCCCGGAACATCTTCCCGGGAAGGTGTCCAGGAGGCATCCGGAACAGATGTCCGAGCCACCTCAGCTGACCCCTCTCGATGTGGAGGAGCAGCGGCTCTACACTGAGCTCTTCCCGAGTGACCGAGCTTCTCACCCTATCAACTAAGGGATCGCCCAGCCACCCTGCGGAGAAAGCTCATTTCGGCCGCCTGTATCCGGGATCTTGTCCTTTCGGTCATGACCCAAAGCTCATGACCATAGGTGAGAGTAGGAACGTAGATTGACCGGTAAATCGGGAGCTTCGCCTTCCGGCTCAGCTCCTTCTTCACCACGACAGGCCGGTACATTGACCGCATTACTGCAGAAGCTGCACCGATCCGTCTGTCAATCTCCCGTTCCATCCTTCCCTCACTCGTGAACAAAACCCCAAGATACTTTAACTCCTCCACTTGAGGCAGGAACTCTCCACCAACCTGAAGTGGGCAAGCCACCCTTTTCTGACTGAGGACCATGGCCTCGGATTTGGAGGTGCTGATTCTCATCCCAGCCGCTTCACACTCGGCTGCAAACCGTCCCAGTGCATGCTGAAGGTCCTGGTCTGAAGGGGCCAACACGACAACATCATCCGCAAAGAGCAGAGACGAAATATTGTGGTCCCCAAACACCCTCCGGCCTAGAAATTCTGTCCATAAAAATTATGAACAGAACCGGCGACAAAGGGCAGCCCTGCCGGAGTCCAACATGCACCAGGAAGAAGTCTGACTTACTGCCGGCAATGCGAACCAAGCTCCTGCTTCAGTCGTACAAGGACCGGACAGCCCTTAGCAAAGGACCCCGGACCCCATACTCCCGGAGCACCCTCCACAGGCCGCCGCGAGGGACACAGTCGAATGACTTCTCCAAATCCACAAAGCACATGTGGATTGGTTGGGCAAACTCCCATGAACCCTCCAGCACCCTGTAGAGGGTATAGAGCTGGTCCAGTGTTCCACGGCCTGGACGAAAACCGCACTGTTCCTCCTGAATCCGAGGTTCCACTATCGGCCGTATTTTCCTCTCCAGTACCCTGGCATTGACTTTCCCAGGGAGGCTGAGAAGTGTGATCCCCCTGTAGTTGGAACACACCCTCCGGTCCCCCTTCTTAAAGTGTAAATTGCAGGTAAAAATTTTCACGAAGATAATGCAATGTGCTTACTAAACATAAAGATAAGAACCGCCCACCATTGTTTTTTTATGTTTTTTATACCAAAATGCTGAATATAATATGGAGGTTGGTGCGTTTTACAGTGGTTTTAAGCACGCCCCCTCCCTTCCACTAGGCTGGGCGTGACGTCATAAAAGGTACTACAAGCTTTTACTGTCTATGCTCCAGGCCTGGAGTTACATTATATTGGAGACCTAGCTAGCAAAAATGGTTAACTATTGTGTTTGTGCGGGATGTACGAATACATCAAAAACGGGGGAGAGGCTCCACAAGTTCCCCAAGGACAAACAGCTGATTTGTGCCTGTAAGTGTTAGCATAACTTACCCGAGGTAGAGCTTAGATCGGGCCCAAAAAAAATCAAGTAAGACCCTACCCGAGCCCGCTGTGTCCGAGCCCGGTCCGGCCCGACACATTAACTGTAATTATGAGCCCGAGCCCGGTTTAAACCCGACTATTTTTTAATACGTGGGTCGTTATAACTGACGTTCTCAACTACTTTCTATATTACTTTCTCCCGCCCGCAACATTTATGTTTTGTCCCGCTCCCACCCGCAAAGACTTTTTTCTGTACCTCCAAATACTTTCAAGTTAGCCTACGTATCGCCACCATACACATCAGCATACATACTCCTGATCAATTATTTGTTATAAAGCATTAACACACAAACCACTGTTATAACATAAAAGCAAGTGGGCTACTGCGTGCATGGTTTGGCATGACTGCGCGCAAAGTGCGCTCCCATAATAATTCCTAAAAAGCTGACATCAGTTCATCGCGATCTCATACATCTCTGTTATTATTAATGAAGCTTTCATAATATATACACTATGTTTGTTATAATTAGAGGATTTGCCAGCATACAAAATTCAGCACTGAACAAAAAGTCAGTTTTGAGCGGTGAGGGGAATCAATCATAAATGCTTCTGATTGGCCATTATTGCGTTCAAGAAATCAACACATATGTCTGTGATTGGCTACATCGCTCAACGCTGCAGACATGTTAGAAATAGAAACTCTGCCTGTAAACCGTTTCTATTTTGTTTTAGTTGTTCTTATTGCTTTTCTGCAACAGATGAAAAAATGTATTCGTTTTTATGTTTTATTCATAGATATTTCTAGTTTGCGGGAGTCCCGCGAATCGTTTTATTCTCCCTCAACCGGCACACACAGAGTGAGTGCATTACCGCGCGCGCTCCCTTTTATGACGTCATCACCCAGTTACGGTAAAAAACATGCTACCTTTGAAGAAACCCCAATAAATGTTATTTTAACGCATTTTAAGACAGAAATTTTTACATATATACACATTGAGCACTTTAATTTACACATTAATTGGTTGTGGTGGTTAACCTGCAATTTACACTTTAAAAAGAGGGACCACCACCCCGGTCTGCCATCCCAGAGGCACTGTCCCCGACCGCCACGCGATGCTGCAGAGGCGTGTCAGCCAAGACAGCCCCACAACATCCAGAGACTTGAGGTACTCAGGGCGGATCTCATCCACCACCGGTGCCTTGCCACTGAGGAGTTTACCGGTGGTTTATAGTCATTTAAAATTGATAGTTTACAGGTTTCAAAATCCTCAAAACAGCAAGTGCAAATGGAAAGGAAATAAAAAGTATGCATGTCTTGCCCAAATAATTTTTTTTTTTTGAACGGACGACAATGTGCTCCAGTATGCAGCACAAAAGCTGCCGTATCACTTAATGAATCAACTTTTTTGCAAAAAACATTTGCATTGCCTTTAAACATTAATTTTTGGATATATCTACTGTATTTTTGAACTTCACAAAAAAAATTGCTGTTTAATAAGAGTCACAGAAAAGTTTGCAACAGGGAGGATTCAGAGCACAGCATTTCTTTTTCACTTCTATGGCATCTGCAATTCAATGACGTCAAGGCTATAATGTGGTGGGTTATCAAGGTATGCATGATTCTATGTTGGTCGTTGTGCTTATATTAAACAATAAATAACATAACATAACATATCTGAGAAAACTGTGCTCATCAAGTAATTTAAAACTCTGGTGTCAATTAAAACCACAAGTATGTCTATGATTAGTGTTGTATTGACTAATAGTCAATGTTTTTCTATGGTACACAGATTGTCTTGCTTTGTATACCTGCAACATATGTGACAGATATAATGGGTTAAGAGAGGGAGGGAGATAAAGAAAGAGGATAAAAAATGTGAATCTATGAATCACTGCTGGTGTAGTTTATGGACGGTGAAAAGCCAAATGTAACCCACTTTCTGTAGTTATCAATCAGTGGACAATACTTTAGGCATGCCATCTGTCTTAAAGAAACAGCCAATCCGAGAGAAAGAGTACTCGTTATGCCACAGTAGGAGGCAGGACCAAGTTTCTCTCGCTCTCTTGCACACACACACATCTCCTGAAATTTGTATTTTCATTTCATCAGACACCATTTTCTATCTCTCCTTGAGGATTTAGTGCCTCTCATTTGTCTTTCACTTTGTTTCTTTCCCTTTGCATTTGCCATTTTGAGGATACTAAAACCTGAAAACTCATTATTCACAATTAGAGAACAATGTCATATTTAATTGTCCTATTAAACTTTCAAATACATTATTCATGAATTACGATAAGCTCATCATATGCGGGGGTAGATTGAGATAATTATAATAATTGTAGCAATAATATTGGGAGCAGTCAAAATGACTTATTAAGAGTAAGGAAATGCCCACATAAATGAGATGCTGAGTGATGTGCTGGCCTGGTTGCTGGCTTTGTGGCAGTGTGGAGCAGAGATCTGCACAGTGATTGATAATGATGTGTGAAGGGAACGGCCTTTATGAAACAAAGCTGTGCCATTATGGAGGAAGACACCAAAGCAGGGCACATTTCAGCAGTTTTTAATTGTTTTGTTCAGTTTTTCAAAAGTTTTTGATTGTTATGTAAAAAAAAAAAAAAAAAAATTTAACTCTTAGCTTTTACTAATGTAATTTTAAAACCCAAATGCTTTATCTGTCATTTGATAAACTATGTATTAAACAGCGTTTTCCTATGTATTTACCAACTTACCTTTACTACATGAGGAAAACTAATGAGCATATATCATACCACTATTTTTTTTTTTTTAAATAAAGCGTTCAAAAATGTTATAAAAATGAATGCAGAAATTAAAAGTAACAAAAATAAAAAACAGAAATATAAAAGTAAAAATGATAAAGCAAAAGATATACTCACTGGTAGTATCTTCTTGAGGCCACAACGCAGAAACTCATTTCGTAAGTGTATCCTGAAGTCTAAATCATCCGGGGAGGTAACAAGGGCATTGATCAGCTGCATGCAAGCCACCTGTATTCATTCACACACGCACAGACACACACACACACACACACACACACACAACCCTAGTTTAATGCAAGCAAATTCTTATAATAATCCCTTTGGCAGTAAATGATTCAAATGTAGTACTCTGCAACAGCCTCTTATTCATACTGCTCTCATCTCTCATCTTAAAGAAAAAAATCAATACATCACATTACTTTAAAATAAAATTAATTCATCAGGATAAAAATGAGGCAGTTGGCACTTTGAAGAACTGTAAAGTAAAACAGGGTAAAAGTGAAGGGAAAAAATGCTGGTGGATTAGTAAAGCTGTCCAGAGGAACGAGGGATGGAAGGAGGGAGCAGGCCTGGCTGAACAGATGTGTATTTTTAATTGATTTATCGGATCAGGGCAGTGGGCAGGGAGGAGTGCTGATGGTTCTTAACAGGTTATAAGGTGGCTCCAGGGAGCCCGCCTGGATGAGAAGGAATGCTCTTCGCTTGGGTGATCGATGCAAAGTGGAAAGATCACTCTTGATGGACATGTGAAGAGTCTTCGTATACCTTCACCAGCCTCAACCTGGACTTTTAGAGTTGTTGTGGGTCTGCTGAATCCCGCTTTTTTTTTTTCTCCAAAAAGGGGAAACAAAAACAGAAACCTGACTTAAGCCAAGGGGAAGACACTGTTTGACACAACATTTGGGGAATTATATCAGCTGGAGGAGATGCATAGTTTTGTTTCACTGATCCTCTCCCTGCTATCTGCTCACATGCTCTGATAATAATAGCTTTGTAGGACTACTTTATTTGAATTAAAAGGTCAAAAAAAATAAATCTGTTAAATTCGATTCTGCTGCATAGAACTGAATGAAGAAGAATATATTGATATATTGATATTTAATATAGGCCTATTTTCTGTCCAATTTTTGTGCTACTTGAAATAAAAGTATAGTTATTTTATTTTATTGCCCTGAATTTGTTTTTTATTCAGATTCATTAAATTATTTAAATTAATTCAAAAGTTTAATAATAATACAATTATACAAAAAAAAAAACTAATTTAAAATAAGAAATTAATAAATAAAAAAATTAAGTCCTTTTCGGTTTCGGTTTTCGGCCAAGTGCATCCAGAATTTTTCGGTTTCGGCCAAAAAAAAAAGATTTCGGTTCATCCCTAAATAATACTAGACTGTGCTTAGATTGCTACAATGAACTGAAGCTTACAAAAAAGGGAGTAAAACGTCTCAGGTTACGTATGTAACCCTGGTTCCCTGAGAGGGAACGAGACGCTGCGTTTGAGACGCGGTGGGAACGCTCTGTGTGATTGCGTCATGAAGCACGTGTAAAATCAGTCCAATGGAAGCCCGATACGTCATGGGTGACGTCATAGACCAGGAAACTATAAATCACCCTTGAAAACAGACCGCGACAGCTTCTGAAAAAGTCTGAAGCAAGTCGATCAGGGCATGCAGGAAGTATGGCAGGCAAACGCAGCGTCTCGTTCCCTCTCAGGGAACCAGGGTTACATACGTAACCTGAGACGTTCCCTTTCAAGGGAACTTCGAGCTGCGTTTGAGACGCGGTGGGAACCCCATACCCACTACGCCATAGTGACAAATGCCCGTTCTGTGTGAAGTCCTTGCGCACACTAAGAAGCAAGCAACCTCGCCCCAGGAGTGGAGAGGTCAAGGTCATAAAACCTGACAAATGTATGTGGAGAGGACCAACCTGCCGCATTACAAATGTCAAGAAGGGAAACACCCGAAATTAAGGCCGTAGAGGCCGCCATACTCCTTGTAGAATGGGCCCGTACAGCCATAGGTGAAGGCTGACCGGCCGCTTCATAAGCCAATGATATAGCCTAAACTATCCATTTGCTCATAACCTGTTTAGATGCAGGGCACCCTCTTCTGAGTGACCCAAAACATACAAATAACTGCTCTGACTTACGCCACAGGGCAGCTCTGTGAACGTAGGCATCCAATGCCCAAACTGGACATAACAGGTTCAGTTGTTCCTGATCTGGGGTATTAAAAGGTGGAGGATAAAAGGCCTGCAACACTATTGGGCCCCTAACATTAACTGGGACCTTAGGAATATAACCCGGTCTAGGGTATAGAAATGCTTTCACCATACCAGGTGCAAATTCCAGACATGACGGAGCAACCGACAGGGCATGCAAATCTCCAATTCTCTTGATAGATGAAATAGCAAGGAGAAATAAAGCTTTCAAAGTGAGGAATTTTTCTGAAACCTCTTCAATAGGCTCGAAGGGAGCCAGAGCCAGACCCTCAAGTACAATGGCTAAATCCCAAGCCGGTGCTCTAGAGTGCAGTGCAGGTCTCAACCTCAATGTACCACGGAGAAAACGAGTAATCAGAGGATCTCTCCCAAAAGAAGTACCCCCCAGAGGGGTATGATAGGCCGAAATAGCCGCCACATAAACTTTTAAGGTGGAAGGAGATAATCCAGCAGAGAAACGGTCTTGCAGAAAATCGAGAACTGAACCAACAGGGCAGTTAACAGGATCTAACTGACGCTCACCACACCAGGTGGAGAATAATTTCCATTTCAGTGCATACAGTCTTCTCGTGGAAGGAGCTCTGGAATGGAGAATGTCTCAACGACCTCAGTCGAGAGACTGGATTCTATGAGCCTGGCCCCCTCAGAGGCCAGGCCCACAGTTTCCACAACTCCGGTCGAGGGTGAAATATCGTGCCCCCTGCCTGGGACAGCAGGTCCCTCCTGAACGGAATCTCCATGGGAGAGCCGTCCAGAAGAGACAAAGTCCGAGAACCAAACTCGAGTCGGCCAGTATGGGGCTACTAGTAGCAGATGAGCCCCTTCCCGGCGAACCCTCTCCAGAACCTCCGGGAGCATAGATATCGGGGGAAATGCGTACAGGTGCAGCCTCGGCCACACCTGCACCATCGCATCCAGTCCGAGAAGAGCTGGCTGCGTGAGGGGGAACCATATAGAGCAATGCGTTGTACAAACGATGTGAAAGGTCGACTTGACTTTAGTTAGACCAAAGTTCTCCCTAAGAAGCTCCACCACCTCGGGGTGAAGTCTCCAATCCCCTGGGCCTCAGCCCCTGCCTCAACAGGATATCTGCTCTGATATACGAGACCATCAGTGTGTTGTCCGCCATTCGCCGAGCAACCACTCATGATCGCCCCCACTTGTGAGGGAAGCATCCGTCGATAGCAATATGCGTCGACAAGAAGCCCCCAACACTGGGCCTGGGCGAGGAACCAAGGTTCTTCCACATGACCGAAGCACGAAGGCATAGCCGCGTGACCTTGATCATGCGAAAACGTATTTCCCCTCGGAGAAAACCCCTTGGTCCTGAGCCACCACTGCAGGGGTCTCATGAACAGAAGGCCAAAAGTAATACGTTGGACGCAACTGCCATGAGACCCACCCGTCTGAAACTGTTTCACAGTGAGTGACTGGCCTAGATATACCCCATTACGGCTGTAAGAATTGCTACACCTAGAAAAGTGGTCCTCAGAGCACATTCTTCTTGCCGTTGAGAGGCAACTCCAACATCCTTAATGAGACAGAACGACATCTCGATGCCGAACTGCCATAAACTCAGATTGAGCTAGGAACAACCAATCATTGATGTAGTATAATACGCGAATGCCCTGGAGTCTCAGAAGAGCCAGAGCTGCATCCACGCATACTGTAAAGGTGTGGGGTAATAAACCTAGGCCGAATGGAAGAACCCGATAATGGTATGCTTCGCCCCCGAAAGCAAACCTCGGGAACCTCCCTCATCCTCTTTCGGAAACAATGAAGTAATGGCTGTCTGCTGGGAGGAGGAACCCCCTCTACAGCTCCTTTTGCAGAAGTGACAGTACTTCCTGCTCCATAACCAAAGCCTGCTCGGGGTCCACCAATGAGAGGAGGACCCCTAGAAATCTGGGCGAACGAGAACCGAACTGAATTCTGAAACCCTTTTCTATAGTGTGCAGGACCCACTGAGAAATATGTGGCAGTAGTTTCCACGCTGCCAGAAATTTACTAGGGGAACCAGTCTCTCAAGACTGGCCTCTGGATTTGTTTGAACAGTCACTACGGCGCCCTGAAGCGGCGAACCGGCAGGGAACAACCGAACTGACCATTCTACGACCCTCCTCAGAGGATCGTATGGGGATGCTGACACCTCGGTGCCCTGAACGGCGAACCGGCAGGGAACAACCGAACTGGCAGCGCTGCAACCCTCCTCAAAGAGTTGCACCCCAGAGGAAAAACGATTTCTCAAAACCGTCCCTTGGTTGAACAGTCACTACGGTGCCCTGAAGCGCGAACCGGCAGGGAACAACCGAACTGACCGCTCTACGATCCTCCTCGGAGGATCGTATGGGGACGCTGACACCTCGGTGCCCTGAACGGCGAACCGGCAGGGAACAACCGAACTGGCAGCGCTGCGACCCTCCTCAGAGAGTCGCACCCCAGAGGTCGCCGAGGAGAAACGATTTCTCAAAACCGTCCCTGCCCCGGAGGAGCCCTCAGAAGCCTGATTGCCTCGTTTTCTTGCGACAGGACTTCTTGTCTAAGCTTTATTAGAGATGATGACAGTCCTCAGATCTTGCCTACCTCTAACTAGCTTAGTTCCTACGACCCTCCTCGGAGGATCGTTGAAAAAAGCAGGCACTTCGGCGCCCTGAAACGGCGAACCGGCAGGGAAACCGAACTGACTGCTCTTCTTTTTTCTTATTTGAAGGCTCGTTTGGGGACACTGACACCTTGGTGCCCTGAAACGGCGAACCGGCAGGGAAACCGAACTGGCAGTACTGCGACCCTCCTCAGAGAGTCGCACCCCAAAGGGTGCTGAGGAGAAACGATTTCTCAAAACCGTCCCTACCCCAGAGGGGACCACCCTTAGAAGCCAGATCGCCTCGGCGTCAGGGCTTCTCCTTTGTCAAAGCTATTTTAGAGATAAAACAGTGCTCAGATCTTGCATGTCTCTAACTGGCTAGACTGCGACCGCCACCCAGGTACCCCTCAATTGCGGAGGAGCCCGAATGGCGACGCTCTGTTTTGCACTTTGTGCTGAGAGGAGCATAATAGTTCTCAGGAACATTAGATTGGTGAGGAAGAAACCTCTGGAACGCCGCTGAATGGTTTATTTCTTAGTTTTCTTGAAAGCGGAGCGTCCAGAAGAACAGACATAATTATATCTTTATTTTCCTTTATCTTTATATCAGAAAAACTTATATATATATACATATATATCACTCTGCGGCCACCAGCAGGAAACAACCGAACTGGCAGCGCTGCGACCCTCCTCAGAGAGTCGCCCCTCACATTCATCCATGTCCTTATATACTCTACCCACCAGCGCTGCCTAATAAAAATGTATTCATTATTAAGATGGCTGGTGGGTAACGTCGGGGTTAATAACGATAACGCCGACTCGGGAGAGAGAAAGCTCGCAAGCGTCTCTTTAACCCGAGGCAATGTCATACTATGATACTTAATACCCAAACATTACTATAGTCAGACATCTGGGGATTAAACACATAAAATACAAACCGGTTTATTCCACGATCTCGACACCTCAGTGTGGAGATAGGGAAAAACCACAGTCCCCGACGAGGAGGCTGAGATACAGAGTTTTCCTGTTTTAAGATACAGTTCATCTAACAAACTCTTCTTTATTTTCAATCTCATAATGTTCAGCTGGCCAGTAAATATTTAACTGGCAACAGCACTAGATAAAACCTCCTTTTTTTCTTTAAAAAAGCTCCTCTTTATTCAACAGAGTTATGAGCTGGAAAATGTATTCATTGAAAACTCAAACATCTGCCTTTTTATAAAGATTTGTATTTGTTTTCTTTCTTTTTAAACAAAACACTAACGATACCAATTCCTCGGAACTGGAAATCGCAGCACACTAGATCTGGCATGTGAAAGCTGAGAAAGGGCGGAGCCCGTCCCAACCCCCGCTGTCAGATCCGTTTTCGAACCCCGAAATACGAGCCATCTCCGAGCCTCGGCAACAGAGAGACCCACTCGGGGAACGCGAACCGAACCGTCCTCCTCGAAGAACGCCCGGCGAGAGCGGAGCGTCCTCACGGACAGCTTCTCGCAATGCACAGTCAGATCCCTCGAGAAATGAATGTTGCATGCTCCACTCCTAAACAGCAACAAAAAGCTGATGTGTGTCCCCACCCGTGATGTAACGAGGGCAGGGAACAACACAACGTCTATAATATTGCTTTGCTCGCCATAATGATAGATAGTGATATATATATTGGGCTTGACAAACAACAATAAATAGACAAGGACAGAATCACAGAGAGCGCTTGCTGAAGACTACAGAAGCTGTCGCGGTCTGTTTTCAAGGGTGATTTATAGTTTCCTGGTCTATGACGTCACCCATGACGTATCGGGCTTCCATTGGACTGATTTTACACGTGCTTCATGACGCAATCACACAGAGCGTTCCCACCGCGTCTCAAACGCAGCTCGAAGTTCCCTTGAAAGGGAACTAACCAAAACTAAACTTGAAAAGAAAAATTATATAAAACAGAAATAAAAATACATTTAAATAGAAGGACTCTTGCAAACCATCTCTCCCATCATACAACATTATGCCTCCACATCACCAAAGTTCTTAAATCTTCTCGTATTCCCATTTGAGCAATTATTTCCATCATTGAAGAGTCTCACTGAGTGAATCTAGATCATTCTTCGAGTTCTCCGAAGGCCGTTTGGCATTTTTATCAGCAGCTGCGTCGGCACACCAGCCTGTTTGGAATGATGTTGCAGATAGGGTGTTGGTGCAGGTTGAGGGGCTTATTTTCCTTTATGGGTTGAGTGTACAATGATGAGCTTCTGCAGCACAGTGCCAGAGGTGGATTCCAGCAGATTAATTAAAAAAAGGCACTGTTGGGATGGTTTTAAGTTTGCGTGCTTGCGTCACTGAGATGGCGTGACGGCAAAACACATTTTAATCACGTTTAAAAAGTCAGGCTCTGAAGCCTATTGCAGGTTTTAAAAGTGTTTAATTTATTTTAACCGCCAGTGTTGGTGAGGTGTTTTAATTTACTTGTCAATTAGTGGTGGTTCTTTTCATTAAAAGCCTTTTTTTTTTCAAGGAGGAAAACAAGGCACAAAATCAAAAGAGAGACACTCCTCGCGCTTCCTCTATATCATATTGTTGTCGTCTTTGCTCTCTCAACAGCAACACAAAGATTAGGGATTTGGTTAATGAATGTGTGAGAGTGGCTTGTTGTGCTTGGTCACAGATCACTGCAGGTTGTGGAGAAGCAGCGAATGATAAATACAGTTGTGGTGCTGCATTCTTGCCCTTTTGATTCGGTTCCTCTGAGACCAGATTGGAGAATGCAGAGGAAAAAGTAAGAAGGGAAGATGATAAAGTAACCACCTCTCAAGAAGAGTTTTTTTCTTTTGGGTGTGTTTGTTATTTGCTATTTTCCAGAGCTCCAGGTTCTTTGTGTGACCTGGTTGGGGCTGATTAGGGTTTATAATACACCTCCTGTTCCATTAAAATAGCCAGCAGCTAGCTTCCATCTTGTGGTGTAGGTGGCTGGGTTGACAGACGACCACAGAACACAGTGAGGAGAGGGATAGGGGGACTTGTTTACATGTCAAGCTGAGCAGAGGTGCAAAAGAGCTTTGAGTGACAGATGTGCCAATTTCTACCTGGCTGGCTCCAGCATCAAAAAGCGCATTCGGAGTGTAGAGGCCTCACGCATTGACCGACACTAAACAGCAGATCTATATCTGCTGCCCTGGGCAAGCAAAATTCTACTAATTATTTGAAATAAGTGAAATAAAACATGAGGGCATATAAAATGCATATAAAATAACATGTTTATGTGTGTTCCACTTGAATATTCTGTGTTCTTCCTAGAGAATAACAGACACTAAATTCAAACACAGGCTAAAGAACACACCCATATAAAACATCCACCCCCCCAAAAAACATTTTTTAAATAAAAAATAAATAAATCAAATTTAAAACTTTTACAAGAAATAAAATTTAAAACAAAACAAAATGATGAGTTAAAATTCTGCTGTATTATCATTCTATCAGAGCACACAAAAATGTATCTATGTACATTTTGTCAAAAATAAAGAGTGCAATGAACTATAACATGCAGTAATAAGGTGGAGTGGCAGGTTGGGAAGTACAGCTCTCTGACTCTCTGTTTCTTGGAAAGGGCAGCACACTGACCTGTAGCTGCTGGGCTTCGTGGTTCTCCAGCCCTTCCACTATCGGAGCAAACCTCTCCTTATTATTCCTCTCTGCTGCAATGGTCATGGCTGCCAGGATCTTATCCAGACTAAAGGAAAACAAGACGACGGAAAACAATGTGTTTAGGTAAACATGCTTTTTATCAAGCAACGAACGTGACATTAGTTCAGATTTGCAACACAAGTTGGTCTAAGCTCGCAATCTCAGTCTCGGACTTCCATGCAGGGGACCTGAAACAATATCACAGATTTTATAAAGATTTTATAGCCCATTGTGGGGGAGCAAAATCAAAGCAAGCCTAATGTTATCCATAGTAATAAGAGGGACCCTTAATTCTACAGTATGTGACGCTGTGTACAAAGCAGCAACATAAGAGAACTGAAGCAATGTGTTTGGACAGAAGTACAAAGTGTTGGTGGGAAAGCAAATTAAGGACTTTATAAGGTCCCATGTCTGTTTTGCTGACTCAAGAACTGGTGGATTGCAGTTCATGGCTAAGGGAAAGAAATAACAGAATGCATCATAGACAAAATAATAACAGCAGAACAAACCAGCGCTTGTGTAAAAATAGCCTTTTGAGTAAAGAAACACACATAAGACTGTGTCTTAAATGTGTAGCTTGCCATCAGGGGGGGCTCACTGGAAACTGACAGAGTAACCTTAACGTAAAGATACTTCACCCAAAAATGTAAATAGAATGAAAAGAAGATTGTGATTCAGTTCGATTCAGTTCTGATCTCGTTTCAATTCATTTCGATACCCATTCAGATATATAAAACTCTCAAATAATGTTATAGCACATTACTATAACATTAAAGTTTAAAATGAACATAAGGCAGGTTTTTTATAATAATAACGTTATAATAAATTCTTCAGAACAATTTATTTAAATTATTTGATCTTACTCCGTTTAATCTGTCAGACAACGCCGCTGATTGGTAGCTATACAACGCGGTAAATATTTGATATTTGAGAATTTTACACAGAGGCTCAGACTCTGACAAACTCATCATGAAAGGAATACCCTTGGACAGTGTTTCCCGACCAAGAGGCAGTGTTGCCAGATTGGGCGGGTTCTAATATGGTTACTTTTGATTGGGCTGGGTGGGAGAAATATGCATTGGGCAGGTGGAGAAAATCTGGGCCGCTTTTTAAAACTACTGGCGCTTTTTTGTGTAGCAATGTGATTTTAATAAATTCGAACACATGTATAATATAAAAAGTATCACAGAAAAGTAAAGTATTGTGTAGACATCTACATATTTTATCCTTGACATGACCCTTATTGGTTCAGTTCAACAAATCAGGGTCGGGTAAGGGAAACCTGTCAATCAATTTGTCATCTTTTTATGTGGGTGAGAGGTGATAACTCATGAGTGACGGGGTTTGAGCGTAAACAGGGAACAGATTTTGAAAGTGTAGCCATGTATTCAAGTGATCCCAGTGCCAAAGTTGCAGGGTAAAGAGTGGGAGAGTGACTCTCAAAACGTGAATTACACATGTTTTGGGAGATGACTCGACGGCTCTTAGTAGATATAATTGTAACTCTGAAATCAGAGCACAGATGAATGACTTCACAATGAATGAAATTGAATATGGGACTATAGTAGAATAGTAGTAACTCCTGTTCAGCGTCATATGTGAACTGGCCTGACCAGGATATCTGCCACTTTTAAAAAGAAGATATTTTGACAACAGCCATTGACTTCCATAGTATGGGGAAAAAAATACTATGGCAGCCAATGGCTACGTCAACTGTTTGGTTACCTTCTTTTGTGAAAAGTAATTATGAAAGAAACTCGTACAGGTTTGGAACAACTTTAGGGTGAGAAAATGACAGAAATTAAATTTATGGGTGACCTATCCCTTTAAGTTCAAATCGGTTCAAGCACAAATCGGTTTACCTTGCTCTGTCATGGAAGAAACTGCAGAGAGAAATTTTGTCGAACTAGGTGTAAGATCCGCGTTTTGTGATCCAGGTGATTAAGTTGTAGTCGTGAGTGGGCTGTACAGAGTCTTTCATGCTGATTCAAACATGGCTTCAGAATAAGCTACACCTGCTCAACTCCTAAAGAAAGCTTTGATGTGACAGCACCAAACATAAGCCAGTGTCACTGCACAGCATTTGAGGGGGAAGGAGCTAGTTTCAGCACTAAGTGGGGTATCAACGTTTTTACAGCTGTCACACAGATCTGCACACCCTCTGATCACCTACACACCCATAAAACACTAATCTATTCACCTACCCGACACTGATTCACCCAACCTGCACTTAGCATGTGTGCATGAAACTGTCTGTGTGTGTATGAAACTGTCAGTGTGTGTTTACTGATTCAGATTCTAGGGCTGAAGGTGCTGATCAGCAAATAAAAATGGTCGGCTGCACCAAACACAGTTTCTTGATTATTCAACAACAAGACTAACAAAGCATGCATAGCCAGGTCGCCATTACGCTTAGCCATAGGCTTTTCTAGCAGACTAATTTGAGAAGGGCTCTGCATGTCACTGCAATAGTCACTACCATGACTATTACTGCACTGCAATGGACGTTCACTAAGATACAGTATATCAGAGTTTCTGGTCAATGACATAACTGCAAGGCGACTGAAGGTTTATTTTATATATAAATATATATATATATATATATATATATATATATATATATATAAATATATATATATATATATATATATATATATATATATATATACACTATATAGTACTATATCTGATTTTGATACCATAAAACTATCAGTACATTTTGGCATATGGCATTTTTATGACACAAAATGGGATTAAGATGATGATCTTACATGTTCTCCTCTCCGATGATACAAACAGCTGACAGAATCTTGACAATTTCGGTCATCATATTAGTCTGTTTGGGATCAATCGCCCTTGCGAGGAGGAGGAGGCTTCGCTCGTCCCCCAAAATCCTTTGGAGGCCATACTGAAAACAAAAAGACATCTCATTTTATTGCACATTTTAAATAGAAACATTTTGCAATGGATAATGCCTTTAAGCTTTAAGCAAACATAATGAACCCCTTGTGTATGGACAGATTCAGGCTTTTTTTTTTTCTCTGAAAGAGAGACAATTAGGCGGGTGTAGATATATTTTAAGATTAATTCATTTAAATCAGGACAGGACAGCAGGGGGGAAAAAATCATATTCCTGCATTTTTGTCTCCCTCATAGGGTTTAATGCACTGCACTTGACCACAATTTGAGCAAAACACAGAATTCACTTGGGGGGGCATTGTATAAATAAACAAATACTAATAAAAATATTACGGAAAAGTGTTTGGAATAAAACAGCATTCATTTAACATGGCTGAGGTATACATTAAATAATGTCAATACCATTTAAGCATGAAAGCAGCTTTAAAAGATTAAATTTGATGATTATCTGAAGTTGAACAAGCTTAATTTGTGTTTGCTACTGTTTAATAAGGCAGCAGCATTTCAATCAGAAATGTATTCTTTCTCAAGGACAAGGAGCTGGCATGACTTCATATTCTTTGATATACTTGTTTTCCTTTTCTTACACTTGCCACGTGGGGGACACAAAATGATATAAACTACTTGTGGTGGAGCTTTCAAATTCTAAACACACCTTATTGTTCATGAAGGCCTTGAGGCACTGAATGAGTTTGTGCTGGTTCTTCTTGTCAATGTTCTCTTGCCTGAGGAAAAGAAAATCAGTGAGTAAAGAGAAAGAGTGTGTGACTGAGCAATCCATATCCACTGAAGAACGATCATTTCTTAAGATGACGTTAGAAAATCCAGCATGACTTACAGTTTCTTGTCAAGAAGCCTCTCCAGCACATCCAAAAGCAGTCCGAGACCCTCATGGCCAAAGTTATTCACCCAGCTAAAGACAGGAAGAGACAGGCAAAGGGCTCCGTTAGAATACATAAACCCGAACGAGTTCATTAAAGGTTAGAAAAGTTTGGTTTGAAGATGAACTGGGTTACAACACAACTCTGGAAACAGTGGAACTTTTTTGTGTTTATTTTCCATCCTTAATATTGACAAACAGTACAGGTCATTGTGGCACCTGTAGCAACACAAGAACATGAAGAAATATCGTGAATATTTTGTTCCCCATATTCTGTTGGTGGCTTAATGTGAAGAATTTTCCACATATTTGTGACCACATGTAACTCCAGAGGAAAGAACAACATATTTAAAACAGGTTCATCTAAGAACAGCACATTGCAAATGAAGTGAAGAAGAATGCAAAATGAGAGAATTCTTCGTGTGTGGCGCCTTCAGGCAACTTGTGTAGGCCATGCACTCCAACAGGAAGATAAAGCAATGCATGGAAGATAACAGTAAAACCGATAATGGATTGTGTAAGATAATTGGCTATAAAACACAATGTATCTGGAGACATTAAAAGACCTGGGGGAGGATAAGAATAAAGAGATTGTGTGTGTGTGTGTGTGTGTGTGTGTGTGTGTGTGTGTGTGTGTGTGTGTGTGTGTGTGTGTGTGTGTGTGTGTGTGTGTGTGTGTGTGTGTGTGTGTGTGTGTGTGTGTGTGTGTGTGTGTGTGTGTGTGCGCGCGTGTGTGTGTGTGTGTGTGTGAGAGAGAGAGAGAGAGAGAGAGAGAGAGAGAGAGAGAGAGAGAGATACACGGAGTATGTGAATGCATATAGAGTATGCTAGTAACATCTCTTGTTCTTAGATCTAGATTGTCAATAAACCCAAATACATGGGGCCATTTGTTGCTTTAAAGGGGGAACTATTATGCAAAATTAATTTTTACATGTTGTTTGAACACTTGTGTGTCCACAGTGTAATAACCAGCCTATAATGGTAGAAATTCACCTAAATCAGAAACAGTGTCTGAAAATACGATATTCCAGATGTCCCCCTATTGTGACGTCACAGTAGGGGCAAGCCCCGCCCAATCTAACCTATTAGCAAAGATCCCACCATGAGTGAGCCGCACACAGTCCACCATGTTTATATGCTCGCTTTAGCGCCTATTAATATAATGTCTGTGCCACATAAACATGACAAATGTTTAGTTTTTTGTATGTAACAATGAATATAAGAGTCACCATAGACGGCATCTGAGCCACTGATGGCACAGTTGATGAATTTCATTTATAAAGGAAATGTGCCAAAGAAATTAGGAAAAGTATTTTGTTTTGAGCAAATCATTTTACACCGGACTGCTTCGTAAACGAGGGTCAGTTCAATGCTGGATTTGGACAAAAGTTGATTCTGAAAGAATGGTCGATACTGTGCTGTTGCTTATGTCTAGCTGTGTTTCTTTTCCGCCTCCCACTGGACATTTAAGGTACTACTGCACTATATAGATTACTTTCGGTTTCCCTCAGTGAACCCAGTCAAGATAGCCTGGTTAAAACCAGACCATTCTCAGTTGTAACTGAGTTATGGTCTGGCAAAGCGTCATAGACAAATCATTTCCAGAGGGGCGTCACCAACGGACGTCGCGGATAGACCTAAACACAATCAGAGCGATGAAGGAGATGACGAATGCAGAGCGGCGGAAAAACATCTCCGAGTGTTGTTCTTTGCTCGGTTTTTAACAAAAAGGAAACGTTCAAATCACTTAAAACAGACGCGATAGCTGATTCGAACGAGTGATGTTCGACGGCGGCATCCATCTTTGTAATGTAGGCTACAAAATCTGCTTCAAAATCCCAGCGCTGTCGTCATCGTGTAAAGCCCGCCCCAACGTTTCTGATTGGTGCCTCGATTTCGACGGATTAGAAATTGGCTTGAATGAGCTCTTTGCCAGACTAACTTTCAGAGCAAATCTAAATTTGCCGGAAGTTGTCTGGGTTTTCCCAGGCTACAGTCAAGAACAACGTGCACGCAGTTTCTATCGGCTATTGATTCCATCGTTTAAACCTTGGAAATATATGTCTGTAAGTGCAATTGTTACACTAAATAGTGATTTAAAGTGTTTAAGAATGATTAGATAGAGATTATTGCTATATTTTTGTTATAAGCACACTTGATTCGTGTTATTGGTAACGTCCTATGTTGTAGCGTACTGACATGCTAATTTCTCTTCTGTTTGTAAATAATCTCATTTGAATATAATTTATCTGTGTATATTACTTAACATTATGTAAAAACTATGTACAAAATCAAACCGTTATGTTAAGCTGGGTATGTGTATGTAAATGTGAACATGGATGTTCATACATATTTTTCTTGTTTGTAGTTTTACAGAAAAAATATTGAGAAGCGAATCACCAGTAAAGTCACTAAAGTTATGAAGACTGCTTTCTGGAGTTCTTTTTTCAAGTTGTACGCTATCTGTTAAGCCTTTGCTAGCTACGCAATTGGTCAGAACAGAATAGATACCAACATCCAACTAACGTTACAGTTCCCACATAAGCACCTGTGCATCGATAAGTTGAATAAAGTTAACCACAAAAACTACATCAATTAATCAACTAACCATTCAGAAATGTCCTGTTGCATTCTAAAAGTTACTACTTCTTGAGATTCTCCATCAGTGTTCGAACATATGAGGCTGAACCAAGCGTGCCGCACAAGCCCTGAAAAGTGAAGCCAAAACGTCTCGATCGCCGGTCCTAGTATAGGTCATAAACCCCGCCTCCCCATGTTATTCAACAGCACATGAGACCAACTAAACAATTCAATTACACTTCAAATATCGTTTTTCCAAAGATGGTTTCTGTCATTTACTGTAGTTTTTATCACGCTGATGTAATTTCAAGTGTTTGTTTTTAAAATAAGTTTGTTTTTAGTTAGTTATTTGATGCGGTGATGTGACGTCATGATTGACAGCTGTGATTGACAGGTTCTCTGAGCAAAATAGTCACTGAAGCACCAACAGACTTTTTTTCGGGATCTTCGGAGGACTAACGAGATTGGAGCTTTAAATTTAATATCTAAATTTCTATTAGGGATGCACGATATTGGATTTTGGCCGATATTCGATATTTTCAAACTAATTTTGCCCGATGTCGATACCGATATATATATATATACAGTATATATATATTTTTTTTTTTTTGCAAAAAAAGCTTATTAAAGCTTCTATTAAAGTTCTCAGTCAAGAGCAGTGAGTGATTTCCTCTGTGTTTTGTTGTTTTTATTAACATTAAAGGGATAGTTCTCCCAAAAAATTTAATTGTCATCATTTACTCTCTCAAGTTTCTTTCTTCTGTTGAAAAAAAAGTTATTTGGAAGAATGTGGCTAACCAAACACTTGCTGTACTCCAGTGACTTCCATAGTATATTTAAGCACACGAAAGAAATGAATACAGCTTTGGGACATCATTAGAGTGAGTAAATAATGACAGAATTTTTATTTCTGGGTGCAGTATCTCTTTAAGGACAAGCGGCAGCATATTATTACTGTCTCTTTAAGAACTGCACGCGACGCGTCTAATATAGGCTACACGCATTTGACAAGCAGATTTTCTCTGTTTGCTTTCACTTTAGACAAAACCACCTTTGTTTATGTAAACCTTGTGTGTATTTGACAGTATCAGTGCAATAAGACTCGAAAGAGTAGTCCAGTATTCAGGCGCTGTTCGACAGACTTTTAGTTCCTGTGAGCGTCGGGTGTACGCGCTCAGAAAAGCGGATGTTACAACAGCACATCAGCGCGTGAATGACATGTTTAACTAGCAAGACTTTGACGCACATGCAAATAATGAACTTTTGTGAATTGCGGTGTCCCGTGACCGTGAGTGTAACTCTACCTCTGCGTTTACATGTGATGTGATGTGAATGTACGTCGCGTTGTACAGTATGTTGAGATGAAGGCGCCAGAATTGAACTGACAGAATGCACGATACTATGATTTTTCTTCAAAAGCAGAAAGTGGAGACATTTTAATCGTCCACGATCAAAAACCGTGAGACGCGCACCCCTAGTTGGAAGTTTAAGTTGCTGGCGCTCATGCTTCGTTCACGGTCGTCACGTGCGCATAGGAAACACGCCACCCTATCGGCAAGGCTCATCGGCAGAAATATTCATATCAGCCGATGCCGATGATGGTCATTTTAAGCTTTTATCGGCCAATACCGATGTTGTCCCGATATCATCGTGCATCCCTAATTTCTATAATTAATTTTTAAAAAGTGCAGGAGCGTGTGCTTGCGATTGATTCTGCGAGAGTGAGGGATGCCTGCTGCAGGAGACACAAAGGACTGAGACAACACACTTTCACAAACGCACACCACACACACACACATGCGCGTATACCTGCGTTTTTTGCGGCTTTTTATGTATAATTTTAATTTGGTTTTGCTTTGTTTGTGTTAAACATTCAATTTGTATTGCATATTTTGAAATGAAAAAAAAAAAAAAAAATTAATTATTTGTTTTAATGTTGGGAAACATTAGGCTATAGAGCCTACACAAGAACATGGTAGGCCTACCGTTTTCTGTGGTATATTGCTTAATGATTTTTACATGGATTTCACATGAAGTTACAGGTTTACATGGTGTGTAGCTTTAACATGGATTGTTGATGGGTTTCAAATGTCATTCCATGGGTTTCACATGAGATATTTTACATTTCACATGATATCTCATGGGTTTCACATGTGATTAAATGTTTCACATGGGAATTTTACGTTTCACATGTAAGCTCATGGATTTCACATGGGAATTTTACATTTCACATGCAATCCCATGGGTTTCACATGTAATCACATGGGTTTCACATGCAATCACATGGGTTTCACATGTAATCCCATGGGTTTCACATGTAATCACATGGGTTTCACATGCAATCACATGGGTTTCACATGTAATCCCATGGGTTTCACATGTAATCACATGGGTTTCACATGTAATCACATGGGTTTCACATGTAATCACATGAGTTTCACATCCCATGGGTT